CGTGCGCGTTGATGTGACAGAGGAGCCGCTGCACCAGGCAACTGTTGCCACGGTGACGTAACAAGGAATACAGTGGTTACTACCCAGCCATAAACAACACCCGACAGCGTTGCTAGCAACCCCTGTAAACACAGTGTCAGGCAACAGCGGTACCTATCACGTAACTGTTTTCATTGTTGTCCATGCCAAGGCTAAATAAGGAGCAGCAAACACTATTCAGTAGTGTGTGATTAGTGAGTGAGGATTGAGCCAGTTACGAGTAAGTGAGTTACTAGAGAGAGAGTAACCAGCCAGTTACAGTCCAGCACTCTTCGGAGTGAATGGAAACAGGAGAAGTAATTGTGATACTGCTGATGGCAGTAACTGTGAATTGTCTAAGTGTAAGACCGAGTGTCCAATAAATTCGCTATATCAAATAAGGCGTGAAGTTACTTGTCGTGCGTGCCCTACCCAACACGTGACAATTTGGTGTCAGAAGTGCTTTACAAAGTTGAACACGCCTCGATGAATAATTGAACTTACGAGTGCATGAACTATTATACCGCCACAAAAATGGAGTCACAGCAGTTCTGAGTATTAATGTACCCCTCAGACGGAATCAGGCTCTTCAATAAAATGTAAATTTTGCATCAAGAGTACCATCATGTTCTGGTCACAGAAATCAGTTACATAAATACTTTCTTCTCTTTCTTAAACTGCTTGAACCTGTGTAATTTTATAAGGCATAAATGTAACTTTTTAGTCACCTTCTGCACTCTTGTCCTCAAAATCTGTGTCTGTTAAGCTGTAGTGATGTCATGCTGTAGTGAAATGTAGACTGTGTAGACTGTGTGGCACTATAGTAAATTGTAGTTAAGGTTTGTAACTCAAATAAATCTGGTTACCAATCTAAATTCCATGTATAATCACTGAACATATGACAATATTTTTTTAATGTCTTACCATAACAAGCACAAAGGGAACTGATATATGCTTGTATCACAGTGAGCCATTTGCAGCTGCAGTCAAAACAATAANTATAATCACTGAACATATGACAATATTTTTTAATGTCTTACCAGAACAGACACAAAGGGAACTGATATATGCTTGTATCACAGTGAGTCATTTGCAGCTGCAGTCAAAACAATACAAGATAAACAGTAATACTGGCACTTCATAGTAATGGCAGTTGACAGTCTCTCTGTCCATCCATTTATTAATTGAAGCACACTCAGCTATTGCTTGTATGTTCTTGCAGGTGGAGCAGCCAGATTTGGCCTGTCAAGAAAGACTTCCTACCTTTCATGTGGAAATTAATTTTTTGAACCATTCAGCTTTATTAATCTGTTTATATTGATCTTTCATTATTACAGACACTGATAGTGACATGGATCAAAGCAAACCTTAATGTCATAATATCCCCGGAGTTATGGGATCGGTTCCTGGTGGTTCTGTCATCCCTCACACAGTGGGAAGAGCTGATAAGAGAATGGGCAGTGAGTAACATTTATTTTCTCATTACAAATATTATGCTGCAGAACAGAATAAAAGCAGTTCAATGCAGAAAGCTGTCTACTTTACATGCATTTACATTTGAATACCTTGCAAACATACCTTCATTTTGAATTGTTAAACAAGAGAGGAATGTGTGCTCCAGAGTATTTTCCGAATTCATTCTTTCCAATTTTGCATATTTGTCTCAGCATTCACTTACTGGATATCGTGCATAGTGAGAAACTGTTTTTATTTTATTTCATTACAAATTCATTACATTTAAGAATGCTTCAGATAAAGATTGTAGTTCATTATGAGATTAAATTTTTGCAACTCATCATTTGTATGATGAGAAAATGTTGAGAAAAGTTTTGCATGAACTTTATATAGCGGCTGTACTGGACCAATATAGACTAAAAACTCGCAACTTTTTATGTAGACCCTGAATATCAGATTTATTTCTGCAGTACATCTCGTTTCAGAGATTTGATGTGCAGACCAATGTGACTTGCCTGTAAATGCATTCATTTCATGCGTTTGAAGCCAAGAGTGCATATTTATCCATAACCCTTTACAGTCAAGCGTCAGTATATAATTGACATCATGACTATGCTTCCATGGACAAATGTTGATATACTATCGACAAAGTTTGGTTTGTGTTTCTGCGGTCATATTGTGATCATATATCACTAGCTGGCACTGTAGACCATAGCAATGCATTCATGAATGTTTTGTCAGCCTCCTTCTGCCATCTTGGAATCATAATTTGAACTTCTTGAGGAATGAATGCCATTTATATATTAGAGCGTGTCACGTGTTAGTAGCATGCTTTTATGTTCAGCTGAACCAAGGCCCTCTAGATTGAAGAAACTAGATATAATCCTTCATGTGATGCGGATGAAGAATCTAGCAATGATATGTTAAGTGAATAACTTGATATTGACTCTGATGATAATATTAATTTGGAAATTGAAGGAGAAACTGTGAGTGAAGAGTTGATGAACGAAATGTCGGAAAGTGAGAGAGCAAAACAAGTGTTATTGCATGTTGGTGGGTGGGAAGAAATGATAATTGGCGATGATACAAGTCGGGAAATGATACCACCAAATAAAACAGTCAGGCCATCAAGAAGATAAGAAAGTACATGGGGTGATAAAACAGATAGAGAGACAATTTCAGAAAAATTTTATGCCTGGTAGAAACATTGTAATAGATGAATCAGCAGTTGGGTTCAAGTGCAAAATAATTTTAAGAACTTTAAGGAAAAAAAAAAAAAAGGGCAACGAAGTGGAGCATCAGAGTATTTGCAATTGCTGAAAGTGACACTGGCTGCATTCACAGTATAATTCCAAATTACAGAAAACTTACAGGCAATGTGTATAACTTAACCATACTCTGAGAAACCGTTCATTTCAAGAATAGTTCTTTTCTTGATGGACACACTATGACTCAGTCTGTCTGGTATTTAAGACTACCACCGATTAACTGACAGATATTGTAGCAGTGATGGGTTGGCCCAAGAATTAGTCAAAAATGTAAGTGCACATTTTTTTTAATTTATGCCCTTATTTCACTGACTTTTCAGGCAAAACAGTTCCCTTAGTGACTCTGCAGGCATTTAAAAACCCCTGACGACCTGCCTGCAGAAATTTTTCTAAACGTGACACCTGGAAAGGTTTAAGAAAAACCCATTTTGCTTACTTAACCATGCTAGCCAATTTTATATGAATCCATCAAAATATTTCCTACTAATAATTGTAAAAAAATAAATTTGCATAGTGGGGGTGGAGTCCAGTTGGGTCCACTCGGCACGTCGGCTACTGATTGGCCTATTGTACCTGCCCCGGGTGATTATGATGATGTAGAATTTGGTGGAATGAAGATTGACCGGGGAAACTGAAGTACTTGGAGAAAACCTGCCCCAGCGCCATTTGTCCACCACAAATCCCACTTGACCAGACCTGGAGTCAAACCCGGGACGCCACAGTGGGAAGCCAGCGACTAACCGCTTGAGCTTTGGCGCTGCCTACTAATAATTGTTAATGTTTTAATTATAATTAATTTTCAATATTAGTTAATAAATAATAAGTTGACAATGAATAATATTATAAAACCGTAGCATCTCCGTTTAATGTCCCTTGGCTTGAGGAATTTCTTCTGTTCAAGATTTTCCTCCTTTTAGTGTTCATATCCAATGCTCTCCATAAAAACTTGAAATGGGGGTCTCACTGTATTTATACAGCATAATACAGCATAATTAATGAATTACTGTTAATTAATGACTGTTTCTGTTACTGTTTCAGAAAACACTGGAAACTCTGACCCGAGTATTAGCTCGCCATGTGTATAATCTTGACTTGAATGACTTACCACTGGATAGACTGACTGAACAGAAGGCAAAGAAACGAAGAGGTGGAAAACAGCAGGGTGGAGATCAGCCACAAGCAAGCTTTAGCAGTACAGGGAGAAGGGGAAGTGAGATATCTTCTCAGGGCAAGACTCTTTCTCAGTCCCATGGTCCTTCCCAGCCTGAAGATGGCTTGAGCAGTTACACCTCTCCAGGTTAGTGAATTGTAATATATTAAAGAGTAGTGTTTATCTGTTTTATACAAGCCTGTTTATTGACCTGTTTAATGGTAAGGTGTTTGTTACCTGCACCATAGGTTTTTCCTGATGCCTTCCTCATCTCTTCTTCTTCATCATCAGTTGACACACCTCTCAGAATGAGACTTTATATGATAAAGTTACCTCCATTTTCTTATGTCCACTCATAAATATGTCTTATGTGTGTGTTGCCACCCTTCTTTGAGCTTATCTTTTTCATATCTTCCCTCTCATAACCTCTGCGCCTAGTCCTTATTCTCCCCAACCAGAGGTTGTTTCTTCACCATCATTTTTCATGCTGCTACCCATGCATAGCATATGTACAGCTAACCAACCAACTGATCAACCCAGTGACTGGCCAGCCAACCAATAATTGACTAAGTAATTAATTACAGAACAAAATGTGTACGGCTGCAGCGAGATTACGTTGAAAAGTGACAGAAGTTTCAAATTTTTTGTGTGATTATTGTGCGAGAAAAAAATCGGAGACTTTAGAACTTGAATGCACCACATATGTTCTTAGCATCAGAGCTGTGTGTTCACGTGTATGAACACAGTACTGTCATTTATGGCTGATGGCCTATCTTCATATGACTTTATATCATTCATCATAATTAAATATTTATATATTGTTACGTGTATGAGTGACTATAGATGGGTTTTGGATGAATTGGATTCTTGTAGAATGTAACTACAAATAACTATGACAGCCTCACTGAGTTACACACTCCAAAGTTCACTGTAACTACAGCACACATAGTCTTCTCAGTCTTTTATAGTCACTGCTTAGTAGCGGCTTCCAACAGCAGACGTTTCGCTTACTTTATGTTCACAAACTGTTCCCATACTCAGCTACAACAACTATTGACTCCGTTCAACTCAACTGAATTCAGTTGCACTCAACTGACTGGCTGAATGACTAACTCCCAGGCTGGCAGCCATCTCACACAAGCCTCCTACTTGTCTCACTGCCATCTCAGGACTCATAATTGCAACTGCTTCTCAATATGTGGCCTCGACATGGACCACATGGAAAGCACTGTCTCCAACAGTTCCTCCGTTGTTGCATGCACGTCTGTTTTGGCCATAACCTAGCAACGGTCATTGTATAGCCACTTATTTCATGGTCATTGCCTAACAATAAGTCCACATGGCACAATATTTATATATCAAACATATAAGTTTTTTTTTTTATTGCTAGTGGGGTGGGACTAAGTCCCCTGTACTGCGGCAACTTCTGGCCTATTGTACCAGCCGCAGATGATAGGTGAGGGTGATTGTGGAGCAATTGGTGGAATGAAGATTGGCAAGGAAGACCGAAGTACTCGGAGAAAACCTGCCCCAGAACCACTTTGTCCACCACAAATCCCACTTGACCAGACCCCGGATCGAACCCGGGCTGCCACAGTGGGAAGCCAGCGACTAACCGCTTGAGCTATGGCGTGGCCTACCAACACATTGCCCAGCAATAGGTGTACATGTAACAATATATTATATTTTACAATATATTTGAGTGCATCAGTACCTCATACTTCCAAACAGTTCAGTGTCTGGGCTTGAAGTACTGTAAAATAATTTGTTCTGGAAATTAGCTGTTCATTTTAAGAAGGAAGGTACGTCAGATCCTTTTTTAAAATTGTCTTGAATTATTATGAAAATATTTGAAATCATTTCAGTTCTTGTCTTTGCAAGTATAGGATTACTGTTTGAACTATTTGGCTATGAATCAAAACATATGTGCTCGAAAGGATGGCTCTCACATTTATTGGCATTGTGTGAATGAGAACAGATTGATGTTCTGATGGACTGTGTGAGTTAAAATTTTTTGACATGTTAATTTAATCGCGTTACTGTTAGATGTGAGAACTAGGATTTGTTTCTCTTCTTATTTTTCCAGAAATTGGCCTAGGCTTATTACGTCTTCATGGGAGTCCAGGGAAGCGTCGAGATAGCTCTGGTGATTCTTCTCAGCGATCCCATCTGCCTCGAAGTGTGAGTGAAAGCAACTTGATGTATGGTCAGTGTACACCTTCAAGGAAGATGTACCATACCTCAAGACCACAGAATAATACAGTTGTCATTCCAGGTACTAATAACATGATCATGAATGATCCAATTACAGAAGCTGTCAAATGGTTGTCTGTTTTTTCCAGTGATTCATGTAGTTTCAGCTCCTGTTTTCATGGATTTAACTCCAGCAGTTTCAGCATGAAATAATTTTCATATATGAAAGACATTCTGTATATTATGCCTCCTGTTTTTTTTTTTTTTNTTTGTGTTAACTCTTCGACTGGCGCAGGTGCATTTTTGCACCCGGACGATGCCAGTCCTTCCCTGGCGTTGGCATGTTTTCACGCTTTGATACACTCTTCCCTTCTTTGCTGTCTTGGCACTCGTCAACCAAAGACATATTTATGGTAGTTTTTGTGCATGGTTGTAAAGAACCCTTGTTGACTTTGTGGGGGTCTATATTACTGTCAGAACCCTCCAAGAAGGAAAAGGTCAGAAAATATTTCACATTCATTCAGTTTCACCATGGCTTCTCACAGCAAGTGTCGGAGTGTTCCTACAGACCAGCTGGAAAGTGTTGTGAACGAGATTTGTGCTGATGATGAAAGTGGCGATGAAGTAATGATTCCTGAATTAGACGAAGTTGATAGTGACAGTAATACAGAGTTGTATTTTAGTGTTCTGTTGCACTGATTCGTATCCATAATGTGTATATATTAACCATCTTTTAGTGCATGGAGTTTCACTTGTCACTTCACACTACATGTTTTGGCATCATTCTGCCATCCTCAGATGTATTAATCACGTGCAGTGCAATGGTTTAACATGATTAATACACCTGAGGGTGGCAGAATGATGCCGAAACATGTAGTGTGAAGTGACATGTGAAATTGTATGCACTAAAAGACGGTTAATATATACACATTATGGATAATACAGTTATAGACAATGATCCACAAGACAGTAATCATGCGATGCCTGACACGCCCAGCTCATGGATGTATGGAGACATTGTACCAACAATAGTTCCATTTACTAGTAGTTCTGGGATCAAAATTGATATAGCACATAAAATGCACCCCTTTTCATGGATTAAAATTTTTCTGGATGCGACTTAGTAAATCACATCACAACTGAAACCAATTGCTATGCTCACCAGCACTTCAACACACATGAGTTAGCTCCTCACTATCGAGAACACAATTACAAATATGCCACACCAGATGAAATGTGGACATACTTAGGAATTGTGTTCATGACAGGAATCGACAAACGCCCCGAAATTGAAGAATATTGGTCCACTAGGCCCCTATTTCACACTCCATGGTATGGACAAAAGATGTCTTTGCAGCGGTTCCAACAGATCTCGAAATTTCTTCATTTTGCAGACAACGATGCATGACCAGCTGACTGTGAAGATCCCCTGTATAAAGTTAGGCCAATTATAGACTCATTAGTGGGGAAATTTAGAAACACATATATCCCTGAAAAGGAAATTGCAATAGATGAGGGAATGATTGCTTGGAAAGGACGTCTTATCTTCCGAGTATATATGCCTGACAAACCTGATAAGTACGATATAAAGGCTTATCTTGTTTGTGAATCAACAGGTGGATGTATTTTGAATTTTGAAATTTATTGCGAAAAATCAAGACCTATAAAGGAATTAGTTGTCGATATGTTGGGGCCACAGCTTCTAGATAAAGGGTATCATCTCTACTAGGATAACTCTTGCAATAGTGTAGAATTGTGTGAGATGTTATTACAGAGAAATACCTATGTGTGTGGTACCTTCAGAATGGACAGAGGAGCTCCTAAAGAACTAAAGGATGACATAAAAAATTTGAAAAAGTGAAATCTATGTTTTCTAGGAAGGGGCAGGTTCTCATACAGGTGTGAAGAGATTAAAGAGACGTCAAACTTATCTCCACTCTTCACGCAACAAAAATCGTGGATTCTGCAAAAGCGAATCGCAAAGGGGAAAAAAAGCAGACCCGAGGTAATTGGGGGCTGCAATAAACATATGAGAGGGGTTGACAGGGCACAAACTTTTACAGGTGCGGCATACAGGCTCTTGTTCATCGCTGGCAAAAGTGCATAACGAATTGTCTAAAAATAACTGTAAGTAGCTGAAATCTTGCTCTATTTAACTGTGGTATTATGCTTTCTGTATCTGTTGTAGTTTTCATTAAAAAAATAGGAGGCATTATATACGGAATGCTCCTCGTATATACCTTATTTATTGCCTTCTTACATTTTTTGCTTTTCATGTGTATTTCTTGTGGATATGATTCCACATCTTTCCACCCACTAAATCCTTCCATGGTACTCCATACTTCACTGTTCTGTAACAATGTAACTCACAATTCCTTCACCTGCATATTGGTATCGCTGTTTTTATGGTACCAAACATTTATCTGCTTTGAATTTGTATCTTGCAGTATACTTATATGCATTGTAATCAGCCATTTTATAAATATTTCAGTATTGCCAATATCTGTTGAACAAGAAGTTGCACGTCTCATGGCAAGCCCACAGTCAAGTTCCATACATTGCCAGCCCCGTAACAGGCTGTGCAGGAAGTCTCGTTCTGTGGATTCGTTGCGAGGAGCTCGGTCAGGAACACCAAATCAGTATTCAGAATCAGAAGGACCAACCCGTTCCCCTTCTCCTGCAGCATCAAGTGGTGTTGAGAGCAATTCTATCAAAGACTCACCCATGCAAATTGATGTTCTTAGTGGAGGGGATGGCACAAGTTTAGATCTACCAGATGGGGGCAGTCTGGAGAGACGTTCAGTTATGGCAGGAGGTTCAGTACGTGGTTGGTTACCAGATGTTGCTGTAGTGCTTTGGCGACGTATGCTTGGAGCACTGGGTGATGTGAATCAGCTTACAAATCCTGCCCTTCACAGTCAAGTGTTCGAGTATCTTGTGGAACTCTGTGATACCCTTGCCAAGGTGAGAACTATGTTGGAAAATGGCTTATTTCTTACGTTGTAATTCACAACAAAATTCTGACATAGTGTTAAACTACCTATAGCAACAGGTGAAATCTGTAATGTTGGCCTGAGTAAATTGGCCATCTGCCAAACCTGACCATCTTTTTGGCAAACCAGTGAAATGTATTCATTTATATAAGATAAAACCGTCTTGGTGACAGAACAAACTTTGCTCATAGCTGCCCAGCCATGCATATTCTTTCATGTGTGGCTCACCTCCGTAACTTGTCCATTCACCACCAAGCATCATACTGGAGAGATCACAAATCAACACATGTCAGAACCCAACCCACTCAGAGTTTAATGATATCCTGTAATGTAATCCTAATGGATGTAAGTATTCCTGGAAAATTTTACAATTTTATGGACATTAGGTTTTGGAGAGCAGATGTCGAAAGTCGTCAAAAAACTTGTTTTTTGGGCACAAGTTGCCTTAGAAAAAGTTGTATGACTTCTCCCCTAATTAATACATAGAGCCCATTTTGTGCTCTCTTGAATGCTAATAAATGGCATTTCTAGTGGCTTATTACACAAATATACCACAGTTATGTTTTCAGGTCTTCATATTTGACCTTTGATCTTAAACTTTGCAAAATGCGCTATGAATTTTTTGGTTATATATTCTGTGCTTCAAACTGTTATTTAAAACATCTGCAAATAACAAATTAGGACTGCAATGCAATTGAGTTTTGTGAACTATTTTACCATGATGTTACTCCATTTCTACAAGTATTTATGAGGAAACTTTAAGTAACATGTTTCTATTAAAATCTTTACATACATTTTACAAAATCTTAGTGGAAGATCTCGGAAGATGGAAGATCTGCTCAACGTTTGTTTTGCACGGTTTGATGAGCAGAAGGCTCTCAGGCTACAGGCTTGTCAAGAGTTTATTCACTGTGTGAATAATGATTGTTCCCTGCTTGACTCAGTTGTAATGGGTGATGAGACATGCTCTTTCTAGTATGGTCCCCAAACAAAAAGACGAAGCATGGAATGGTGCTAGCCAACTACAAAGGCACAAAAAATGTATATTTCAAAAGTAAAAAAAGAAAATAGTGATATTGGTCATGTTCTTCAATAGCCAGGGAATCATTCACAAAGAATTTGTTGCATGAGGTCAGACAGTGAATAAGGAATATTATGTGGCAGTATTGTCTCATTTGGTTTAGAGAATTTGTCGAGTAAGACCTCAGTTTCAGGAAAGAGGGAGCTAATTCCTCTTGCATGAGTGCGAGACCTCCCACTGCAGTTTTTGCCAAAATAAGGGATTCCAGAATTAAATCATCACCCATATTCTCCTGATTTATGTCCACCAACCTTTTTCTTATTCCCTGAAATCAAATCCACACTGAAAGGGAGAAGATTTGAAGACAGATGTCATTAAGAGAAAGATAACAAAGGAGTTATTGGCATTACATGCAGATGAGTTCAGAAAGTGTTTCCAACAAATTTATGAGCTAGCACAAAATTGTGTGACATCTCGAGAAAATTATTTTGAAGAATATTAAAAGATGTGTGTGATTTTAAATGTGACTTTTTAAAATCTATGCAGCCCTGGAACTGAATTGTCAAACTTTGTAGCTACAAATTAACATGCTTCATTACAGTGAAAATTTGTAAATCAAATGTTTGCTGAATGAATGATACCTGTTCATAGACTTGAGTAAGTCTTGGGCGGGTGGGGTGGGGAGAAACGTTTTAAATTACTGCAGAAAAAAACACACAGACTGAATTCAGTTAGCTGTAGATGTTCCATATGTCCAGACATGTCTGACTTGCATCATTTATTATTTTACTGATGGGTGTGAGTTATGCAGTGTCTACAGTACTGGCAGATCTAAGTAGGTTTCATGTGGTCTAGGCTCTCTGATCTGGAAGCTGTACAGCTCATTGTTCTTTGGGAATTTTAGATATTGACATGTTATAAATGTTCTTCTCTGGTGGTGTGTAAGAGATATTTACTTTGTGTTATAAATTTTGATAAGTGTAAATAAGATCTGAAAGTTTGTATGATGGTAAATTAGTACAGACCTTTTTATATAAACAGGACAGTGTTATAGATGAAAACAGGATGAATAATATTCTGAAACATAGTAGTTGTACTGCTGGTTTAGTGTGTTCAAAATAATTACAGCGGCTCAACTCACCTGTGTCATATGCTGTGACCCATTTAACGAAAGTGGATGTAATAATGACAGAAACATACTTTCTTATGTGAACTTCCTAAGTGAAGTAGTGATTAAGACGTGTGTGATGACCGCCTCTGTGGTCTAGTAGTCAGAGTTTCTGGCTACAGATCCTGAGGTCTTAGGTTCGATTCCTGGTGCTATCAGATTTTCTGAGAAGTAGTGGGGCTGGAACGGGGTCCCCTCAGCCTCATGAGGATAATTGAGGAGCTATTTCAAGGAAATAGCAGCTCCGGTCTATAAAACCGAAATTAACGGCCATGGGGATCCATTGCGCTGACCATGTGACACCCTCTATCCGCTAAATTTGGAACTAACTTTGCCGACAAGCGGCGGTCGCTCGGTCGGTATAGTTCACTTGCGGATTTCAGGCCATGGAGTGATGACTGTTTTAAGGAGATGTCAGGAGGTAAAGTAAACAGAAAACGTGATGACAGTGTCTGTGATGAGATTGCACAGTTTAACAAGATCCCTCAAATGCACTTCTTAAAGTTTACAATTTGATCATAAGTCACCCATGAAGTAAAAAGACTAAGTGAAGATAAGTACAATATGACCAAAATAAAAAAAATTGAAAATGGTGTGAGAACAGCAAGTCATGAAATTATTGAAAATGTCACTTCAAGTGCACTTTCTTTTTTGATGACTTGTTGCTGAGATTTTAAACAGTTAACAGGAAAATTTCAAGCTTGACTGACATCAGAAACTTCAAACGGTACCAGTTTTAACTATTCTCCCTAAGAGACGGAATAATTCAACAGTGGAATGCTTGTGATTGGTTCTTAATACTTAATTTAGAACACATAATTTCTCTTGTGAATGTGTGATTTTGCAGATCCGTCTGAACCAGGGTGTATCTGATGATAATCAAGTCACTCCCCCTCCACCAGATCTCATTCCTCCTCTCAACATTATTGCTCCATGGTGCTTTAAAGTGAGTATTGTGCATTTAAACATTTTCTTTTGTTATCCCACAGTGTTTTAAACAAACTCATGAAAATTCAATGCTGTTTATTTTGATATTTATTTTGTCTTAATTTTTAGTATAAGAACTTAAGTGATTCAGAAATTTTATGTACATTGTATATTCACATAATTTGTATACTCTTTTTAAATAAAAGGATCATGTGTGAAAGATGTAATGCATAAAGTATTTGTTACCTTGCAGAGTGTAATTTGACATGTGAGATTCAGGCAGTTGTAGGTGAATGTAGTGTTGGAACATAGGATGGAAATTCCTGCCTGCAGACTGCACCAAGTGATTTCTTGATCAGTGTAGAGATAAAAATGCCTCCTGATAAAAGAATTTTTGTAGGAAATATGTTTATTGAATGAGATGTTTCAACACAATATGGATATTTGGGTCTTTGTACAAGTATTCCCTCATGCAAGTTCTGATGAATGTTGAGATAAAAATGTCCCTTCATAACATTCTGACGAATGCACAATTCTCGTATCATAAGATCTACCCCCCCACACAAAATTTGTGTTTTATCAGCACTTTGTTACTGCAAAAATATTGTGACAATGTCTGAAATCCGGGGTAGTGAAATCAGAGGAAACGTCCATTGCTAGGCAGTGACTCAGTAAACACATTCCTGCGGCAACAAATTTGTGAACAATGATTGAGTAACTTTTGTTGCTATGCAGTGGCACTATAAACGCACATTTGCAGCAATAGAGAGGCCATGTTTGTATAGTTTTGTCACAAACTGTTTGCATTTCTTACTGTAATACTTAGCATATACATCATTGATAATATCAAATATAATTCTTACTTTCCATAATCAGTCAATTCCCATATGGTCACTTCAGGGAGAAGGGCATTTCCTTTGTCAGGCATATCCAAATATTGGTGCTAATATACGTAGGTCATACCGAAAGTCATGAGCAACTTTGTTTTTGCATGCAACCTGGGAACAGCAGATGAAAGAGAGTACGGTGGTAGGTGGAACCAGCTGTTTTGTTAACCTTGAATGTCTTGTGATGTCAGTAGCTTGCATCACATGACCAGTATCACTCCTAACAAAATGGCCAACAACGATGTGTCGTTTCACCAGTGTGCTGTCATCGAATTTCTTGTGAAAGGGGAAATCCCTGCTGCAGAAATTGACCAGAGACTTCAGTGTGCTTATGGAAGTGTGTGCATGGGTGCGGGCAGTGTTCGAAGACGGGTCAAACAATTTAAAGATGGGAACACCAGCATCGAAGATGAGCCTCGGAGCGGTTGTCCTCGGACAGCCTCAACTGAACGCAACAAGGAAAGAGTGGATGAGATCATTGAAGATGACAGGCATGTGACTGTGGACACAATAGCCCGAAAACTTGGAATAGGGCACAGTGCAGTACAGGAGATGATTGAAAGCTTGGGCTATAGGAAAGTTTGTGCTCGTTGGGTCCTGCGGTTATTGACCAAAGACCACAAAGGTCAGCGAAAAACCATCATCTCAGAACTGCTGCAGAGATATTGACATGAAGGCGATTTTTTGCTCTGTATTGTGACAGGTGACAAAAGCTGGTTTCACCATTTCGAGCCTGAAATGAAATGGCAGAGTATGGAAGGGCACCATTTGCATTCTCCATCAAACAAGAAGGCAAAGACAGTGCCATCAGCTGCAAAGGTGGTGGGCACAGTCTTCTGGGATGCAGAGGGGTTTATTCTGGCTGAATTCCTGGAACCTGGGCAAACCATCAATGCTGCTTGTTATGTCCAGATGCTGCACAAGCTCTGTCGTGCATTGCGCGATAAACGTCCGGGACGAAACATCATCATCCTGCATGACAACACTCACCCCCATGCCACTCGCCTCACATTGGAAGCAATTGCAAAGATGGGGTGGGAAGTTCTTCCACACCCCTCCTATAGCCCTGATCTGGAACCCTCAAACTACCATCTTTTTGGATTTGTGAAGGATCAGCTGCATGGACAACGTTTTGAGACAGGGAGGCAATTCATAAAGCAGTGCGTCAGTATCTTTGGATGTCTGGAACAAAATTTTACAGAAGGGTAATTTTCAAACTCCCAGAATGCTGGGAGAAATATGTACAAAGAAGTGGCGATTATGTGGAAAAATAAAGAAAGGTCTGTAGATTGAGGTGGTGTATTTGGTTTGTCAATAATAAAGCATGTTACTTTACAAAAAATTGTTGCTCATGACTTTCAGTGCGACCCTCGTATTTTAGTCTCTTTTACCGGCAGTTGCTTAATTTCAAAAAAAGATAGCATGAGACTGCTGACATCTTTATTTAAGTAGCAAGGGAAAGCAGCATGGCGAAGAGAAAGCTAAGGTCCTGCTGACTCATACAAAATGAAGTCTCTGAGCTATGGCATGACTCACATAAACTTTCGTCATCTTGTCAGTTCCTTTTACAGATTGTGATGAAACTCAGCTCATGACACTTATAAAGTAGTGCCTTGGTTGAGTCTTATTCAGTTAATTTGTCTTAAACCCCATGAAGCTAAGGGCATGAGTAAATTTTTGGAAATATTCACCTGAGGAATGGATGCCTTAGTTAAATGCAAGGCTCCATGAAATAGTTGCTGTGTCTTGTACAATATTTATATAAGTATCAGTAATTTTGAGAAAATTATTAGTATAGTAGCAGTACCTCAAGTGTGCATTGTAGGAAGCACTGTACTTCCATATAAGGTTGTCCAAACAATTTATATTTATATTCTTAACAGCAGATAAGACATGATAAAGTTTAATGCTACCGTTAGGATGGTTTTCTATCTGATTTTATTACGTAACTTGCCAAATTCTACAATTCAGATTTTTCTGTAATTCATTGTTCTCATTTTCTCACCTCTAAGTTATTTCAGGGTTCTTGTTTCAATAATGTTTATTTATTTCAGGCACTTACACTCCCCAGTAGTTACCAAAAAGGTAAACTGTGTGCATACAGGCTGTTGTGCACCATGACTGTTACCCCGCAGGATATTTCCCTGCCTCGTGATCATCTTTCACAGTTTTATAAAGTATTGCATCAAGGATTAGTGGGAACAGATCAGGTAGGTATTTGATCATGAATCATTCTGTTCATCATCTTGATTATACGAGGATAAGTCAATAAGTAAGTTACAAATGGATATATAACTTAAACAAATAAGAGTACTGATTTGAAAAATGCATTTATTTCTCAACATAATCTCTGTGTACATTGAGGCACTTGTCCCATTGTTTCACAAGCCCCTGAAAACCAGCAGCATAAAATTCGTTGGGCTGCTGTCGGAACCAGGCGGTGACTTCCCTTCCTGCAGCTTCATCGTCGGGAAAATGTTCAGCCGAAAGATGGTGTTTAAGAGTGCCGAACAAATGGAAGTCGCTTGGCGCAAGATCGGGGCTATACGAAGGATGCTCGAGGACTTCCCATTTTAAATTTCTCAGCGTCTCACTTGTCTTGTTGGCAGTACAGGGATGTGCATTGTCATGCAAGAGCAACATGCCTTTGGTGAGGAGTCCTGCTCTCTTCTGTTGAATGGCCTTACAAACTTTCCTGAGGATTACGGTAGGAGTCGGCATTTACAGTTTGTCCTTTAGGCTGGAATGTGGTGAACAGTATGCCTTCGTGATCCCAGAAGACTGTGAGCATCACTTTCCTGGAGGATGGTTTTACCTTAAACTTTTTTTTTGGCAGGCGACACAGGATGTTTCCACTGCATTGACGCATGCTTTGTCTCGGGCTGGTAATGGTGAACCCAAGACTCATCAGCTGTGACAATTCAGGCTAGCATTTCGTGTCCTTCATCATGGTAGCAATTGAGATGCTGTAATGCCAGACCCATTCTTTGCATTTTGTGCTGTGGGGTCAGCATGCGTGGCCCCCATCTTGCACAGACTTTGTGAAAACCTAACCTGTCATGCATTATTAGGTAGGCCATGCTGTGTGAACAGCCAATAGCAGTGGCTATAGTTACCCTTCTGTCTGCTTGGATCAAGTCTTCAACCCATTGCACATTCGCCTCTGTGGCCATCTCCATTGGCCAGCCGATGCGGTGTTCGTCTTCGATACATATCCGCCCTTCACAGAACTTCTGCACCCAGTTGTAAACAGCTTGACATGACAGGCACTTCTTACTATAGATGGGAAGAATTTCTTTATGAATATTCTTTGAATCCATACCATTTAATTGGACAATGGAGTGCTGCTCAAGAGTTGTACACTCACTCAGCTTATTTCCTTGGGTTTATATGAGTTGTTACCACGTCGCTGCTACCCTTCATATAGGGAGGAGAATGTAATTGTGCCCCAGGAACCATAAGCCCAAATTTCCTTGCTGAATCATAGCATATGATGTCCCAAATTCTTGAGTTCATCATGTGCGCACAAGACATCCAGCCCCAGGATGAACTTGTCAGTGACTTGGCAACAGACATGCGATTCTCGGAGGGTGCTACTCCAGGGTCAACTTTGCCATTGTTTCCTTCAGGACAGAGAAGGTCTCCCCTGATGCCATCTGCAGGACAGGGTCAGTTCTTTCTTGGGCAGTCATGAAGTGATGTCTGGCCTGATGTTTTTCAGTCATGACCTCAAGTCAGTGATCACAGTATGTACATACATGGCAGTTGGGGATTGTTGTTTGATGTTACCTGGCAGTGGAAGCCTCTGTGACATTTCCCTGTTTCTAAGAGTGTGACCTTTATGCACCATTGAGTTTGGAAACAGAAAGGAGCATAAGGTGGGAAAAAATCCGGCACTAAACACTAGAATGTCATATTCAGTAGCATTTATTGCTTATAGATCATTGGTAAATATTCACCACTAAGCACAGTAACATAATTGTAAACATAAGCATTACTTCATTTCCCCTCACATATATTTTCAAGCTTGAAAAGCAGTCATAGTGTCTGAGATGCTGGAAAATGATAGAGAAGAAGATCATATCTACTGGGTGGACTTGGGGTGTCAGTAAATTGTTGTATGTGAGTAGAAAATCTGTTTGCACAGTTGAATAAATTTGATGCATGGTCTCTTTATATAGAGATACTGCTGAAACTTTGCAGAGTAGAATCACATGCTTTATTTGGGTTAAGCATCCATGCAGGATGCAAGAGACGCTTATCAGTAAGGAAATGTGGTAGTGTCAGTATATCAGACATCTGTCTTCTTGACAAGTCAGTCAAATGTCACTTTAACAGTTGTTCATCTTTGAAAGGTTAATCCACAGGCTTTTGTTGTCTGCTGCTGAACACTGTTCAAGTGTATGTGGCTACTTTAAATATCACAGATGAAAATCGTAAACACATCTGCTGTGTGCTCATAGGAAACTTTTGTGATAATTTTGAGATCATTATTTTAAATGTTGAACCTTTGTGAAAAATGCATTTAATGTACATGGTGTTTTGGGGAATTGATGGAGGTGTCAAAGACAGTGCTGATCTTTCAGTTTAATGACAACCAGTCTCTGAAGATCAAAGCAGAATGAAGTCCGGAAATTCCATGCGTATTAAATATACCTCAGGTAAAGGATTATGTCCAAAAGAATTGTGTAAGAAATGTTTTCATATTTTGGAGGAATATACTTCATGATAGAAATGAAGGAAACAGGGATGGACATAAGACAGAGGCCAGTGAAAAACTTATCCATGTGGAGTCATGAAGAGCAGGACTGGGATGAGTACATGTAACAAGTGATCTTGAGCAAAGGATATTTCTTTGCCACCTAAGATGCCTTCCTCTGTTTCTTCAGCATTTTTAATGACTTCCTCTGGAGATATTATCTGCACTATTTATGGTGCTAAAATGGATCTTGATATTGATTACCTTTATGTGGCCTACTTTTAGTAAGAATTTTTTGCAAAATTCTTAAAGCCTTTTTCACCTGTGCGCTTCAAACCCAGACTGCCATCAATTTAACCAGGGTTGTTAATTTGAATCTGTCTGTTTGTCTAGGCTGTGATCAACACTCTTGTTCAATTTTCTGGACCTCGCTTCTTCTCACTTATGTTACCTGGACACTCATTACTTCTGTATGACTTTATTCATGCAGCCAATACTATTGTTTCATCATCTGATCTACGTGGGGTGAGTATATTTCTTCATTAAGATTCATAACTGAATTCAAGAAGTTTTGTATTAGTGCATGGATATAATATGGCTTGACTGTCTTAGATACGATTTGGTTACATGTGCCATAGATGTAAATTGCTGTCTGGTTGACGTTTTTGGGAAGTCTCCCTTTTGCTATATTTCTAAGCACCTGATCATCACATAGTATGTGGAATCTTCTGGAGCAACCCAGGCTTAGATAGTAAGTAGAAGTAGTAAATTCTGGCTAATTCAAAACTGTAGTCTCTGAAAAATCACTTTCTGTAATGTAGATGTGAATGATAGATTCACTGCTGCCACCAAGTTAATACATATTAGTAAGGCTGACTTAAATCAATCTAGCACAGCTATCCCTTGGAAATGAATAAAATTTTATTAGATCACATGACCTGTGAATGGAGATTGATGGTTGGGTCATTCAAATCACCAAGCATTACCACCTGTCATATTTTTCTCCCTCCTACTTTCCCTCTGCCTGTCCGTAGATTTATACCACAAAATTTTTTATAAGATTTAAAGCTCATGAGGATAGTATATTAATACAGTTATTGACTTTTTGGACAGTAACCATCATTCTGTTTCTGAACACATCTGTTTAGTCTGCATGAATGAGACATTTGACATGTGTAATATATGGCAGTTATATGAGCAGATCTGTGATGCATGTATTGATTTTATTCACGATTGTGAGTTCCACCAAAGTACAGCCATGGTAGTAAAGGATAGAGTAAATTGCATAAATTACAAATGACACATCTGCTATCAATTGTATACCTGAATCAGTCCCATTGGATAGATCATTGGAAGACAGTAAAGAATCATGAGAGACTGATCACCCAGGATTTCCCAAAAGTGGTTGTCATCCTTTGTTGCTGATCATGCAGTGGAGTTCTCATTCTGAGGTAGCCAAATCCAGTTTGAGCACCTCTAAATTTTTATAATCCCAACCTTATGCTGGTAATCGTCAACAAAACCAGTCAGTCTACACAACAGTAAATTGCATGAGGATTCAAAAACTACAAGACACTGGTGTAGCAGTGACCTTGACAGTGATGTTATTATTATTCTGAAGGCAGTTACAATGAACACCCATTATCTGGTACCCAGGCATCTTAGAATGCTCATCAGACCAACAAAAGTTTCAAATATACCATGTTTATAAAATTATTTGAAAATATATTTGAGATTTACATATGTTCACCTGCCATGTGGTAGTTGTCCCAACTGCCATTAGCAGCACAGCCCATTGTTCTCCATCACACACATGCCATTACAGCACAGACTAGTTAAGTTTGTGATTGAATTACTATTTACATATCCAAAATATTTCACCCATGAATCCACTGCAATGCCTAGGAAGGCTCCAGTGCAAGAACTAAAGCAAAAACACCTTTTTTTGGGCTTCATGTTGGGTTTGTATGAGCATTTTGTCATGCAATCATTAGGTTCATATAATTGGTGCACCCCATTCTGATACATGCTGGATATTGGAGCGTTCCCTGTGTTAAGACTCTGTCGAACCCACAGACACCTGCTTCAGCAGAAACATCACTGTAGAATTATTCCTTTATATCATAGTCTTTTGATTTAAATTTCTAAAATGCTAAAGGAAGGGGAGGCCACTTTTTGATTGAAGCAGAACATACTTGCTCTCAGTTTCTCAGGAAAGCAGCTCTTGTTGTGGAATATGGTATGCACTCTTAATACAGCAGAAGTTGCAGATGCGTTGAGCAGGACATGCAAACTGAGGTGAAACCAAATTTTATCATTATATTTATAAACACAGTGTGAAGTCTGATATCAGTATCTTTCAAACTGTAAAACATAATAGTGACTAAAGAATTTATCTCCTGTGCTGTGTTCTCTGAGCTTAACAAGAAGGTAATGGAATCATTTACACTGCGCTATAAAAAAAGAGAAGAGAAAGAGAGAAGCTGGAGGCACCGTAGTCCAGGCCAACTGTGGTGCAATTTCTTAATCTATGCTATTGCGTCCATGCCAGAAAAATGACATGGGAGACTGACTGATGAAAAACCATAAATTCATTCAGATTCCTGCCACAAAAAGAGACAAATGCCCAACATGATATTGCAGACTGTGTCTTAAAAAGAATATCGAGAGGAAAAGTATACTATGTGCCTTTTGTGCGGTGTTTCTTTGTACTCTGAAGGATGAAACACATGGTATCTTGCCATCAAGGTTTATGGTAGATGATGTGGAATTTTAATTTCTTTTTCTTTTACATCATTTGCAAATATGATTTTCTTCTTCAGATAGTGCAAACCCCTAATTTTGTGCTGTCATTTAAGGTGAAGCCTGAATTAAAATGACAGCCATGAAAAGTTTAATTCTGATCATTTGTGTGCAGCTTTGAAACTTGTTTTATCAAACTTTTGCTAGCAGTTACAGAGCCATTAGCTGTCCCACATCAAGAAGTGTCAAATGGTATTGATTGTTGTGGTAGATTTCATAAAATTTCCAGTGGTGTGCAGCAGTGGGGATCTGCAAAAACTCAGGCTAGAGGCTGATCTTGATCACAATATCTGTTGAATTATAACAAGATCATGAGTTGTGGAATACAATTGCATTAGTGGAGTTTAGTAGAAATTATTCCATGATGAGAGGTCCAAGATGAACTGTGTAGGCTGATGTGGTAAGGCCACCAGGAAAGTTCAGAACACTGAGACTGTTGGAGAACTTTGCTTAAGTATGTCTGTCTGGACTTGTTAGTTGTTTTGCACTTAAGCTGTTGTTATTCTAAAATATCACACGATTCATAATTCATTAGAAAGACACCTATTCAGTCAGTTTTCTTATAGCCTTCAATACAGTTGAGACAGCCTTTACTTCAAGCATTATTTATTCTCCGTAATAACTACATGCTAAGTCTCCCCTGTTTTGTAGATGAGATAGCCTTGAAATAACGTGGACTGGGAGAGTTTGAGGGTATACCACAAGTGAACCATGTTTACCTTGTGGCTCGGTTGGTTTTCACCGTTCAACGGTCAGGCATCCCCCCCCCCCCAAGCTACCCTTTCCACTGCTTCCTACCTTGCATAATCCCACAATTCTGGTTTATCACATGACCCTTCTCTCCTCCTCCAGCTGTTCTAAAATGTTTGAGAGCTTTGTCTATGTATGCAGAACGGGGACTGGGTCTATTGTGGGTCAGCTGTCGGCCAACACAGATTGAAATTGTGTTCAGGCTGCGCATTCAAAATTCTGTCATTCCGGCCATTTAGGACTGGAACAGCTTTATGACAAAGAGGGTATTTCTGTGAGTTTTGGATATTGTGATTTCTTTGGGCATCCTATTGCCCCTTTTGAATAGTACAAAGTTATGCTAGATATAATTTCTGTTTAAGAATATTGTGAAGTAAGTTGGCTGAGACATAAGAATGTTGTGAAGTGAGTTGGCTGAGGTGTAATGTTATTATTTTGTATTGATGGATGTTGCTCAATTTTGTGTTACTGTAGGACTAGTTAAAGAGGTGAGCGTAAAGAGTCAATCCCAAGTGCCTCTAGAAATAACTTCACGTCGTATTGAATATAGCGAATTTATTCCATATTCACTCGTACACTTATACAGTTCACAATGACACCACTACTGCCATTGGCAGTATCATAATTACTTCTCCTGCTTCCATTCACTCCAGCAAATGCTAGACTGCAACTGACCCTGGCGACTTCACGATCCACACTGTGTCACTCCTGATCACACACACTCTTTTGACATACTGCTCAGCTGCTTTTTTTATACCATTCGCTGTTGACTCATGTTACAGCGGTGTCCCCTCTTACATCACAGTGGGAAGGGGGTGGAGTGTTGACTGGCCTGTTACCATAGCAGCGACAGCACTCTGATGTTACGTCACCACTGGCGGGGGAGGGGGTATCCTGCATAGCACGAATACATCACAGTATTTATGTACATCATAATGACAGTGTTCCTGGAATCAGTGTTAAACCATTGTAATGTAAATGGTGTGGACTGGATTCAGCTAACATAAGAAGGAAGAAAGCAGTCTTCTGGGATTAGGCACCATGTATATATGGTGTTAACCGACGTTTCGGAGGAACGTATCGTCTCCATCTTCAGGGTAGAAGGAAAAATATAAGAAATCCACAAGCGAAGAGACCGTGAGAACCGGTAAAAGCAGGCTGGTGTTGGAAATATACACAGCTATGTGAGAGCAGCGAAGGAAGGGGGGAAAGGCAAGTATACAAGTGAAAACAGTAGTGTTGGGGGTGGGGGAAAGGAGCTGGGACAAGNTTCCAACACCAGTCTGCTTTTACTGGTTCTTACGGTCTCTTCGCTTGTGAATTTCTTATATTTTTCCTTCTACCCTGAAGATGGAGGCGATACGTTCCTCCGAAACGTCGGTTAACGCCACATATACATGATCCCAAATCCCAGAAGACTGCTTTCTTCATAGTCACCGCCGTGAAAGCCTCAAATCTTACAACATAAGAAGGGTTCAGTGGCAGGCCTTGTGAAGATAGTAATGAAGCTCTGGGTTCTGTATCTCAAGAGGGACTTTGCACTCTTGAATTAGGTAGTTAGTATAATTGGAATTAATTTGTCTTTGAATATTATAGCAGGTTAGCCAGAAGACACCAGTGGAGCAAATGTTGTGGAGTAAACTTGTAGAATTCTCCTAGTATGCCTACAGTGTATTCCGTATTCCGTATTGAGGGGGTGGGTTTCCCCATGCACTTAGACCGGGTGTCCATTGTGTGTCCCCCTTTAATTTCTACTGTCTCCATACCCTACCGGTACTGGTGCTTACTATCAGTCCCTTTCTGCCAGCGAGGTTCCAACCTCTTACTGGCAGTGGTATCTAATAGTTAGTCCCTTTCTGTCAGTGAGGTCATCCCTCCTCTGGCAGGGGTTCCTAGTCCCTTTCTGCCAGCAAGGTTTCTACCCTCTACTTGGCAGTTGTATCTAATACTTTAGTCCCTTTCTGTCAGAGAGGTCCCCCCTCCTCTGGCAGTGGTACCTGATACTTCCCCAATCTACCGGAGGAATTGGAAACTAGTTGGGTGGGAAACTTGGTCTAATTTTGCTCAGAGGTCTCCTAGAGACATGAGGTTCTTTTACGTACCGTAAATCTATGACACGGGACCCACGGCTTAAAGTCCCTCTTGGAGGACTTGTTCCCTGAATTTTTCCGCCCTTAAAAAGTCCACGACCTCCGCCGGGTTTTTGAACCCGCGTACCTTGAGTCATGAGCTGGGATCGTTACCCCTAGACTATGGAGGCCGCTTGCCTACAGTGTAAAAAGTACTAATAATTATGTCTGTGATTAATGCAGTTGAGAAAAGATTCTCTAAATTATATCTGGTCTTTGCATTGCAGACCCCTCGGACAGAAGCAGTGTCAATACTGGGTGCTCTTCTCTGTCTGCCAAATACTTTTGCTGAGACCCTTGTTCTCCAACCCAATGCTGGCGAGTTCACAATGATGCCATGTTCTGATGCCAAGGTAGGAACAGTGTATTGTCTGAGGTTTAGTTTAGAATTGCCTATGACTTGAAATATATTGTGGCATGATGGCTGAAAGCTGAAATAGTTTAAGATGAGGCAACCATTGCTAGCCAGCGGTGTGGTAAACATGTTTCCACAACGTTGAATCAACATGCAACAGTAGAGGAACTGTTGAAAGCAGTGTTCTCTGCATGACCTGCATTGAAGCCATATACCGAGGACCAGCAGGAGAAGTAAGTCAGAGGTCGGAGTTGGCAGTTCATCTTGAGTTGCATTGTGCAGCAATGGCTGGTAAACAAACAGAAGACTTTATAGTGTGCTTTTGTTGTAGTGACCTGTAAAGTGTGTAATTCCGTGAGACTGTTATAGCTATTTGTTGTTATGAGTTATAAGCATCCAGTAAATCCATTTATCAATCCATAACCCATGTCTAGCCACTAACATGTGGCAATACGATATATTTTAAGACCCCCTTTTTTCTATAAATTCTAGTCAATTTAATAATGTAGTACTTCTTTTTATTGTACATACACAGTGTGTCCAGGATCCGTTAGGACTAATTTTTTTAAATTTTGTCCTGCAATGCCATCTGTTGGTGAGTTTTGGCATTAAGATTCTTGAAGTTTCAGCTGTGGCTGTCAATAATTTCAAAGCACAAGCATCACTGCAATATGTTTTCTGACCTTGAATGTAACAGTACTGTTCAGACGCTCGTCGGAAAACGATGGTTGAACAGAGAGCCAACATCAAATTTTGTTTCAAGTTAGGAAAATCGGCCAGAGAAGCATACAAAATGATGAAAAGTGTGTATGGTAGTGATTGTTTGAGTCACTCGAACATTTTTTGATGATATGCCGTATTTTGTGATGGCAGGGAGGACATTGAAAATGCTCCACGTGCATCAAAACCGAGAACAAGTCGCACTGAAGAAAATGTGAAAAAAGTGACCCATATCCTTGCATCAGACAGATGTGTTTCTGCAAGACTGATCGAGGAGCTTTTGGGAATACCAAAAAGTACTGTGCGTCAAATTCAGACGGGGGATTTGGGCAAACAGAAGGTCTGTGTGCGGTTTGTACTGTACGCGCTGTCAGGCAATGAAAAACATGCCAGAGTGGAGCACTGCAAAGACATGTTATGGTCGGCCCAAAGTTATGCAAAATTTACAAAATTGATTGTTACTGGTGATGAGACATGGTGTTTTCAATATGAGCCTCTCACAGAGCAGCAGGGTAAAGCGTGGTTGAGCCCAAAGAAGCAGAAACCAAAGAAAGTGCGCATGCAAAAGAGTCGAGTAAAGACACTGCTAACCGTTTTCTTCGATTCCAAAGGAATCTTTCACAAGGAATTTCTGCCAGAATGTCAAACAGTGAATTCTGATTATTATCTCGGAGTCCTCAATTGTTTGGCACCGAGAATTCTTCAAATTCAACCTGAATATCGACAGCAAGGTTCCTGGTTGCTCCTCCATGACAATGCCCCACCCCACAAATTGAAGATTGTGCACGATTTTTTGGCCAGAAGGGATCACAGTCCTTGATCATCCTCTGTATTTTCCAGATTTAGCTGCAGCAGATTTCTGGTTGTTCCCAAAAGTTAAGTTGGCGATGAAGAGAGACCGTCATGACACCATCCAGGACATCCAAAGGGAATCTACCATAGTTTTAAATGCGATTCCACAAAAGGAGTACAGTGACTGTTTTCAAAAACTTTTCAATTAATTCCAACTATGTATTGATTTAGAAGGGAACTATTTGGAGTAAAAGGAGTGAAATTTTGAAAATAATTCACATCTTGTATTTTTAATGAACACAGTCCTAACAGAACCTGGACACACTGTGTATATGTACACAGGTTGATCAAAATAATGAAGACACTACAGATACTATATACCTTTTTTTAATTAATTTGGCACTGAATCACATGCCTTCAGTACAGCCACATACCTTATTGGAATGGTCTCATTCAATTTTTGAACAGTCTTTAGCAGAATTTTATCACATTTTTCTTGAAGAACATCTTCAAGTTGCTTTCGAGATGTTTGGGGTGGCAATCTCTTTTCCCACTTTATTCTCCAAAACTGACCTGAGTGGTTCAGTAATGTTCAAAGCTGTTGATTGTACTGGCCAGGGAAGATGCTGGAGTCTACGTTCATGCTCTTCAAACCATGACTGAACAGTTCAGCTGTGTGAATGGGCATTGTCATCTTGAAAACTGCATCATTGTTCAGAAGTAACATCTGGATCATGGGATGCACCTGATTACCCAACCTGTCCAAATATTACATAATGTGTCATGTTGTATTTCATTTTCCCATAGTGGCGACTATGTGGAGTTTCAGGGTTGTAATGCCATGTAGTTGAATAGCAATCACTGACATTTCAGAGGAATAAATTGTCTTCTCTCTGCTTGCCACCTGCTTTCTCCTGCTTTCTTGGTTTACTCTTTGACCCTGAAGGAGGAAATGATACATTTCCTAAGAAGCATCAGTGGACTTCTACCAAACTACAGGGCTCTACAGCCTAGAAAATTGTACCCTGCTCAACCTAAGAATCAATTTTACTGTAAGAGACATGCTAACAGGAGTGGTTGTATTATTCAAATTATAATGTCATGTTGAATAATTTATATTGTGTCCCTAGGATCATATATTGAGCATATTGCTGAAATGTGGTAAGCGTGAACCAGCTGGTCAAGCACGTTGCATTGCTCTCTCCAGCCTTGGGATTTATTTGTACCAGGAGCTCACCCATGAAATTTTCCATCCAAAAAACAAGGAGGCTATGAATGTCCTGTTATTGGCCCTTAGGGTAAGTATGATGAATTTACTGTGTAATTTGAGTAGACTTTATAAATATTACTGACATTTCTAGTTAGAAAATCTTTGCCTCTTTTGTTCATAACAAGTGTGAATATGAATTTAATTATCTTAACGGCTTTATAAAAGTTTTTGTAATATTCTCTTGCTACACTGTTGACTAAAGTTTGTTTTACTGCAGTCACATTATTTAAAGATATGCACAAACATCATTCCATATTATAACTAAAAGTGATGATAGTATTAGGTTCAGATATTTTAGTGATTTCATCACAAGTTGAGTCCTGTAAGGCATGTTTCCCAAGCTTAAAACATTTGCATACCTCTTTCTGAACCTTATACACACCAAAAAAAGGTATGAGGTAAGCAAAAAAGTATACAGAAACTTCAAGTATTATCAGTATTGTCAGTTAAATGTAAAGTGATGAGCATTAAATTTAAACTTGTGTATGTTCTGGAAAGAAACAAATTGTGTAATGGGAGGGGTGGAACTGCTTCTGACCTGACAGCATTGTAGGGTTGTCTGGCTCAGTGCTGGTGAGCTCAACATGGAAATGTAGTTCCATGTCATTCACATGATTTTGTTGTTTTGTTTCAATGCTGAAGGTCACCAAGAATCCTAGCTCAAGCATGTATACGGTGGGGAATGACAGAAAATACTCGATTTGTTCTATATGGCAGAATACTCGGCATGAACACTCAACCGAAACAGTGTTAGTGTGTTTTATTGAAATGCTGTTTTTAGGAATCCATCTGAAGTTAGCTCCAAGAGCTGCTCTTCTTCTGAAGCTGAGAGATTATTTAGCATTGTTTCAGCTTTGATAAGGAAAGGATTTCCTGCCTTCAGGAAAGTACTTAAAAAGACCCCTCTTCAAGCCTTTCAATTGTTTCTTCCTAGTTAGCAGCTCATCAGCATTGAGTTCTTTAGCTGAGTTGGCCATGGTAAACTTAAAGGTAGGAAAATAACCTTATTCGCCATGACTACAGGATTTAGCCCATAGCTTTAGTTTTGTGATCGTCATGCTGATTTTGTCATTAACACGGAATATGGATAACACCTTGCCTTGCAAGGATAAATTCAAACTTAGAAGATCCAAGATATATGAAATGTATGCTGATTTACATAGCCATTTCCAGCTGTGTGTTCAGACTCGCAGGATGGAGGTTTCATGCAGAAAAGCATGAAGTTCTTTTTGCATCTCAGGCTGGTGACTTAGGACTATTCGATATGAAAACCAGCTTACTTCAGTATGAAATAGGATCTTCATTTGATCACTGCCCATTTCATTGCAGAGTTGTGCATGAAGCCAGATGACATTCAGTGGCCAGCCTTTCAAAAAAGTGAGAAATTCCATTATCTGGTATTCTAGAAAATAGAAAATGTGACGTTTCAGAAACTGGATCTGTTTCCATCCTTGGGTGATGGGGGGGGGGGAAGACACCTGCTTAGTTAGGCCCCCTTAATCCTCTGAGACCAGGCTAATTCCATTGGAGATGATAAGAAAACATACAATAGTTTCCCAAGATGAATATACACATCATCTATGAAACTGTGAATGTATTTGAGATTTCAACCCTATATTATTCTTTACCCTCTTCCTCATTCAGTTTTTTGAGATGGAGCCTCTGCATATGAAAGTTGGAACACTGGAGACTGTATTATTTGAATAATGTTGAAGCATATTTGAGGGTAACCTTGGTCTTATTAGGGGATCACTTTCCCAGACATTCCAGAAAGGGTAGGGGAATCTTGTGTTTCAGTAGGATGAGAGGCATGTGCTGGGCAGGTAACAGTCCCACTGCATTCCATCCCAATAGCAGCATTTATATGAATGGTGCTGAATCGTTAAAAGATAATTCTTATCTCGCAGAAGGCTGGCTAAAGGTGGAGAATAGTGTCACTGAGCATTGAGAACAGGAGATGCTGGGGGTGATGAAATTAAATCTCAGGAAACTACCAAGTAAACAGAGAAGAAGCTGTGTGTACAGCATATTCTGGGGGAAGCAGATGTCATGAACAGTACATTATAAATGTAATAGGGTCAGATGGAGAGTACTTTGCCTTGCATAAGTGTAAGTAGTGACTTTGGGGCTAATCTCTTCCAAAAGTTTGTGAATTTGGTAAACTGTTGTGCGAAGTACTGTAAAAATGTTAATGGTGTGTGGTAGCTAATACTCCTTTTTAACAGTATGGAATATGACATCAGAATCAAAATTGTATTTTTATAATTTAGGAGTTACAGAAAAAAAACGTTTTTCTGAGTAGTGCAGATAGTTCTTGGAGGTTTGTATGTTCTTCTGGATAGTATGTCAGAAAATCTTCACACCTCTTTCATCAGACTTGTGCAGATATGATTGCAATAGAAAATGATTCATTGTGCATAACAAGTAGCATCAGTGTGATGAAAGGTGCAGTGCTTTTATAAAATACATGGCGTTACTAAACTAGCAGGTGACACAGCATTGAAACCAGCATTCTACTTAGAACTGAATGAATGGTAACAGGGTTATTAAGTAAGTTTGGTGTATGGAACTTGATACTTAAATTCAAATTCAAATTTTTCGGTTCTTAAATCTCCTACTTCCTTTCTGTAAAAGATATTTTTGTGTTAAGGAAATGCCATCAAAAAGTCTTTTAAGGTGATATGTTTTCTACAAAGCTTTGTTGAAGGTTATAAAACATTTCAGACATTCGTCATCAAATTCTGGTAATTAGATATTTTTCACTCAAGGCTTACAATTTCAGCAAAGATGGCATGGTTTTTTTTTTATTAAGTTTATGCTGCTCCAAGAAAGGTTTAAGTAGTAACTTTAGATTTTTAGAAAAGCAGTTTGGAATGTGTGCTAGCTGGGTGGGATCAGTTTCTGTTTTAAACCATTTCTGTGTTACATTATTTTCAACATAGTAAGTGCTTTTGCAACCCTCTGCATTCGTTGATGTGCAGTCGCTATATTCCATGCAAAACTCTGATTTACAAGGTATTGTAACAAACATCACATTAGCAGTTAGAAAACATTTTGTAGAACCAAAGTAGTTGTTTCTGATAAAAAGATTAATTTAGATTACTTTTTACTTAGAACTGTTTTAAATACATAGTGAATAAGACAATAAGGAAAAGAATTATAATACATATTGTCCAGAAGATATGTTTAAGTGTTTTGAATTATTGTACCTATTTCTGTGACTAATATGCAAGTGAATGAAACAAAAATGAAAATAGTGACACACTTAGAATTTGTGGCACTAAAGTTCCACATGTGCATCTCTTGTAATTCACTCAAACACTTCTGATTTTACAATTTCAGTAACTAATCCTGTGTTTTAATATTTTAACACTGCCTACATATCCAGTGGCTCCACGAACCAGAATTTTTATGTACCTCCACAAAAGACACAATCCAGTGGCTTATGAAACAAGGCTACCTGTCCACATCCATCAACTTTTCATTTACAGCAGTTGAAACAAAGCTGTAAACGTGGAGGAGTGCACCATGTAGTGGTGGAGAGTTTTTGAGAATAGCAAGGAAAATGGTCTCTGTTGTGGTAGTGTCATAAGGATATATTTGTTTGGGCCAAGGCAGAATGTGGTCTTGATAGCTAGATACGTTCATGTGGAACTTTGCTAATGCAAATTCTGAGTGTGTGTCATCAGTTCAGGTTTTGCATCATTCAGTTAACTATCATGGTTGTGAAAATATAACATCTTGAAATACACAACATATTTTGCTGACTGTTTGTACAATCATTTTTAGAAATTGTCAGAGACCTTTCAGGAACATTTAAAAACATGTGAGATGTTAATATTTATACAGTGAGGTGTTTTTGGGAGTACCACTCAGGCAGAAAGGTCAGACACTCCTCCCATGAAGCTGGGCAAACTGATAATGCATAAGTTCACTGTATGGCTACACCATCTAGAAAATTCATCATAGTTATTAATACTTTCTCTTCTATTTCCCTTTATGAGCTTGAATAAAGAAGTGTGTTTTATAATAGAATAAATGTTTAAATTATCAGCTTCAATCACTTGCTGTACATTTAATATTGCAGTTTTTGTAAATAATGTACACTGTTACTCTTAAAAATTAAGTAGTGTGACTGAATTCATTCATCACAAAAACTGTTCATTGTACAGTGTATACTGTGGTGTGGGACTTCTGCATCCCGGGAATCTGAAGTTGCTTCATCTATTGCATTTTCACATTTCTCTTTGTAGTTTTAGCATGAGTATTTAATTTATTTCATTGTGTTCATATGTTCTTTGTTTCTGTATATACTTTCATAATGATTTTCACAGATGTCAGAACTAGGATACTATTAAGAAAGAATATGTATTTCATTTTTTTAAGTTTAATGGACTGCTTTTGGAGTTGGGGAGAATGTTTGAAAGGCTTTACAGGTTTGATTTGCACAGCCTCTGTTCTGTGTTTATGTTCTGTATATGCTTATAAACCTACATGGCATGGCGCTTAGGCATAGTGGCAACTTTGCCATTTACCATAGCCTGTGCATCTTTATAGTTATATAAGAAATATAATAGCCTGTGGTACGGATACTCATGAGATCTGAGGTTCTCACAGTGGTGAGTAACAGAATATGTTCCCCCAGGATGTGATGTCATGTAGATTGGTATATGGGTACCCATCTTCCAGACTCTATGGTGTCACATCCTAGAAACTTTTTGAAACACTTGAACATTTGTATTTCTTTAACATGATAACTTCTTCCCTAAAGGTTATATTTATGAAGCTTAATATTAAATTTCTTTCTTAATAGCATTCTTGTTTCTGCCTTTTTGTTGTGATGTGTTACTGGGTTTTATTTGTTTATTTATTTTTTTATCCAGCAAAGTTATTCTCAGCCTGGCTACACAAACAAAGCAACTGATAGTAAGGTAGTAATGCATTTTTTTTAATTCTTTGTGTATTTTGCTTTTGTGGCATTGCTTTATTTGTATGTTTACAGAATGCTGTATGTATTTTTGTACAGTTACTTGTTTCCTAGTGTCTCTGTACCTTGTTTATAGTGAAGAAATCTTCAAGTTCCATTGGTAGGTTGATCAATAGTAACAAACAAACTTACATTTTAATGTGAACTCTCAACTGCAAAGGTGTTCAACATTTTCTGGAGTCATAAACTTTTATCTGCGTGAAAGGCAAGAGAAAGAGAAGTGTAATCTACACTGGATCATGCCAGTTGCAAACTTGAGACTTTGGCATAGAAGTTAATCATCATACCAGATCTTTGCATGGAAACAAGTAAAAATGTGTTAAATGACAGTAAATTTTCTTGAAGAAACTTGTAGAAAAATGATAACTTTGTATATCACTGATTTGTCCATTGTACATCTGTACACATGAAACACCTTTGTTTTGCCATAAAAAGGTAAAAAAAAAAGGTAACGCTATCCCTGTAACAGGCCATGGAGGCCCATAGGGTTGTGAGACATTGAGTGTCACACATCATCTAGACAGTTGGCTCACAGATNACTAGACAGTTGGCTCACAGATGGCGGTAAGCTTTGCAGCTTTCTCCCCCCCCCCCCCCGGAAGATTCCTGGTACTCATTTCTGTTAAGCGGCTGAGTCGACCCCAGGGCCATGGCGTGACTGGAAAGATTAGGTTAAATGAAAAATTCCAGCTCATAGGGACTTGAACCCATGACCTTCTGGCTTGTAGCATAATGCCTCAACCAACTACGCTACTGTGTGCCCCTTTTCTCATACTGATATTTATGTAGTTTATTAACTGAATTCATACTAAGCACAAAGTTTCTTTTGTCCACTTGTGTGGATTTCTTAGGGATTGTAGTCTACGTAAATGTACTGCATTTTTCTCACTATGGCTCAGAAGTTTCTTTAGCGCACATATATATATCTGTAGGTGCGTGCGTGTGTGTATGTGTGTGAGTGTGAAGATTTTTATTATACAGAAATTTGTCTTTAAACATCTTTTCAAAATACATGACATTTTATCAGGATCTGCATTTAAGCTCTTGTAAATAAATTTTGGTGTTGGCATTGTAATGTACAGCAAGCTTTCCCCTGTCTGCTGTTTTGTTAAGTACATTAGTCAGTGGAAATGAAAGTATTATGTCTTCTTGTACTTTTGTCTTTCAGTTTGTCTGGTGACTGGAGTCTCTTTTCTCTTTACAGATTTTCTACATACTTGTTATATTATGCACTTTAAAATGTAATGTTGTTATCTGTTTGTTTACACCTGTACAGCATGACTTGAAATATACCTGAATATCATAATAGTACTGAATTAGGTAAAATGAGAAGAGGTCATTTGCATATTGGAACAGGTGTACAGAACAACACAGAATAGATTGCCAAATATTTTGTTTGCAACTGAAATAAAGATTGCATCGACTAATACCTTTGTACATGGCCACCCAATTGTAGGTGTGCAAGCCACATGTGCCTCACAAAAGTAAGTCCATTACCCAAATATATGATCATGCTTTCCATCTCTTTAAAAACAGCAGTGAGTCCTTGTGAGGGCATATGATGTAATTTTTTGGCTGATTTTACATGACACCTGGTGAATAATGGGGTCTGAAATCAGCACAGATTTTTTCAAACCTTTGCCTGAAAGGAAGTACTGAAATTTAATAGACTTTACTCAAATATGTGTTACATGTGTATGAATCTATACTTATGTGAGAGTAGCTTTTCAGTAATGAAGTTAGCCTATATAGAATCTTGTTATTGTTTACTGACCAGTGCATTTCTCTGCCACTTCAACTTGTCACTACCAAGATAAATTTAAATATATCTAATGTAATCCTTCAGAGAAGAACATTCATGCAGAAAACTTGCTCTGAAAACAGTTTTAGGGGTGTTACATCTGTTTTGTAGGAAGCAAATTCAATAATTTTTTATGATTTTGTAACATTACAATGCACTATTAAATTTGAATAAATGTATATTGTATAATTTTATGGGCCAATTTCTTATACGTATGCTCATGCTTCACGGATCAGGTTATTGCAGGGCAGATATTTATATCGGATTCTTAAAGAAGTATTTTTTATAATGAAATGTTCAGATAAGTACCTAAGTTACATTGCATCCTCTCAGTGGTTTTAAGTTGGACAGCCCACTGTAATATATGCAAACCAAACCAGTTTAGTATAGCAGTTTTTGGAGGATGTCTGGTTTAAATCTCAGCTGGCTTCCAAAGTATTTGAGTCAAGGTTTCTGCGATTTTACTCATTATTTCCAGGTGAATGCCAGCATTGTATCTTGAAATATACCATGACTGGCTCTTCCGGATTCCTGTCTATTCCCTGTGCATTATCATATTTCATCTCATTTGGTGCTATGTAACATCAAACAGCATTCTAAAATGACCCAAAAATCTATCAGTTAAACATATCTATTTTCTTATATGCAAATACAAAATTCATAGACTAACAGTCCATACCAGTTTGGAAATCAGATTAGAAATGGTAAAAGGGTGATCTGTTGACTTGAAAAAGGAAAAAAAATGATTTTCTGTCAAGAGAAAAACTATACCAACCACTCTGGTTTTGCCTGTTTTGGAGAATAACTAATTTAAATTGGATTGGAGTGACCAGATTTTGAATAAAAGGTATATTCTGAAATAGACAAAGAAATAGGATGTCTTCCATCTTGTGACACCATGTGAACTACTCAGGTCATGTGATGGAAATGTCAAAGGATAATTGTGAGCTGTACAGTATTCACAACCATACTCCCTATGTAACCTATGCATTTGGATAAGCACCATTAATAGACTAGGAACAAGGAACAATAAAATGTAGAGATCCATGGAGGGGCAGCTGTATGTGAAAAGTATTTGCTGCCTACTGAGTAAGAGGACATGATGGGCCTCGGAACTATTCTTGACAACATGTTACAGAGAACTGTCACTCACTCACTCCCTCACTCATGGAACTGAGCCCTTCTTGAGAAACTGCCAATTGTGCAGCCACTCAAGAACTCCCGAGCATTTGATTGAACCCGAAGGTTCATTACTGTGTTCACAAGAGTTCTCCACTGGTCCCTATCCTGAGCCACATCAATCCATTACATACCATCCCATCTAATTCTGTCTCTGAAAATCCACTATCCACCCAATTCAGTAACCTCTAATCCAATAGATACCAAGGGCTTTTCCTCCAGAGGTAAAGTGATTGTTGTTTGAAGCTGATCACTTATTGGTGCCTAATATCATCTTAAAAAAATGTGTAGAACTTTACCTTCATGCCCTCTATGTTATCTTTCCAGGGTGCTTAAGCACAGAGACAACTTTGTCCTTATCATATTTTTAACTGTCAGGTGAATCAGTATGGGGGTTTGCCCACTGTGGAGTGAAATGGGGAAGGGAGTGCGTGTAATTGTGTTGGGTGGTATGTGGACATGATGTACTAGTCATTCGCCTTGATATGTTAATTACTGATGAAACTAATTGTGATTTTTGACACAGTTTAATAACAAAACAGTTGGGCAAGTGGCTTCAGACATCTTGCTGTTGCTGTGTGACCATGCTGATCGACTTGTAGAGCATTATCCAGAGATCCCATCCCGGATCATTGAGGTAAGGTACAGGAGGAATTTTATTTTCAAGAGAGACATGTTAATTTGGTGATAATGTGTCTGGCTTGTATTTTGGAGGAATCAGGTTAATCTCTGAACCACTGGTTGAGGCTTTCTCTTTCCTCAGTCCTTCCAGATGAATGACATGTTGGTACCTACAAACAGATTACAACTACTTCCAGCTCATCTGCCCCTCATCTCATTTAATGGTACATAACCCAAGGCCTGGTACAGTGATATTGAATAATGAAAAAATAATTTTTGAAAAAGGGCTGTACCATAGCTCAGGTGGGTAGTCACTGCTTTCACAGCTTGGTAGCACCAGGTTCAGTCATGTAGGATGGCACTGGGGTAGATTTTCTTTGGATACTTGATGTCCTCTGACACTTCTCAATCCACCAACTGCTCCACATTCATTACCTTCTGCCACATCATTAAATAAAAAGACTTAAAAAATAAATAGTGGTTATTTTAAAACTGACAGAATTGTCATAGAACAGCCTAATTTTGAAGTACTCGTTCTCAAAGTTTATATCGAGTTGTATGGTTTAGTAATAATGTCTGGGAAGTATGGTACTTGATTCCAATCTCATGTGGATTAACAGCTACCAGTATCCTGTCTGAGGTTTTTACACTTTTTTTTTCCCCCCGGTTTCTTCAGGTGAATTTTTGTGACTATGCAATGGCTGTCTTCTTTGAAATCATTGTCTGCATACCATTTAAAAGCACATTTGGTGGGTCATGTGTTTATATTTACAGGTATTAGCACTGACATTATCTCATTTGATGCCACAAAATAATGTTACAACATCAGAGCGAGACAAGCACTTGCTGACATCTCTCATGTTTTGTCTTGGCGAGTGGTGCATGAAGATTCCTGCAAATTATTTGCTTGCATCAAACAATGGCTCCTGCCTTCTGCTCACAGTATTCAAGGTAACATCTAATCGTGTTCAGGCAAAGCATCTGCTGTAGCATTGTTTTCCAACCTTCTTAATGACTTTTCTTATCTTCCTTTCCTTCTTTCCTCCATGTTTTGTTTCTGTTCTTGTTTCTTCCTTTCCTCTTGTTCTTTTTGAGATTTGATGGAACCCAGAATAAATTATAAATGTTGTATTTTCATTTTGCATGAAAGGCATTGTACTTCCTGTGCCTGTAACAGAGTTACAGAGGCAATGCCCCAAGAAAATGGTCTTGTTAACATGGAAAACATCAGTAACTATCTTAATTCTGTGACACTAACCTGTGGGTATATGTGTTATATATTATTTGGAAGGAGTTAAAAATTTGCCACCTCAGTAACCAGTAACTCATCTTTCCATGTTAACTCGTTACAGGTGTTCTACCGAGAACAGATTGGTTATATTTTTCAGTTTTATTGGGAAGCTCAGTTGAATTTTTACATTTAGGCATTAAGGACTTCGATTTGTATTATAGTCTGGATTCTTATCTTTTCTAGGTCCTAAATCAGTTACAAGGAGGAGGTGGCAGTGGGTCAGGGGTTAGTGGCTCAACTGGTGGCTTGTTCCAACCAGACTTGGTACAAGACTTTGATCCTAACATCCTATTGGATGATCTGAAGGAAGGTTCTACCCCACCAGTTGGACGTCGGTCATCAGCAATGATCCAAGAAAGTGGATCACTGTCCCACCATCATCATTCCAACCAGTCTATCCAGATGGCAGCCAGAATGGTACACTACATAAACTGTTTTTGGTACACCTATTTGTGTTTGGAATTCAGTATGCCCACAGTTTGAAAATTGAACTGTAGGTGTGAATTCAATTAGCAAACTAACTCAGTGGACCATACTCTTTCTTGAGGAGCTCAGTTACTCTAGAAATTACGAACTTTATGTTAAGCCATGTTCACAGTAACCTGCCACTGGTCCCTATCTTGAGCCAGGTGAATCCACCACACACCCTTACAACCTGTTTCTGTAAGATTTGTTGTAATATTATCCTCCCATTGATGTGTAGATCTTCTAAGTGGTCTCTTCCCTTCAGTTTTCTGATCACAATTCTGTATACATTTCATGTCTGTCTCATGCATGATCCATCCCCTGCCCATCTCATCCTCCTTCATTTGATCATCCTGATAATGTTTAATAAAGAGCACTAGTTATGAAGCTCCTCATTATGCAGTTCTCACTAACATTTTGCCCCTTTCCCTCTCTCACTTTCTTGTCTGCATCCTCCAACAACCTATTCTCATACTCCCACAATGTATGTTCTTCATTTAGTTCTAAAGACCACGTTTCACTGTCATATGAAATTATAGGTTTCAGTAATTTATGGTTTACATTTTTAGATAGCAGGTGGTGAGACAAAGGTAGCAAGCACTCCCCAATTTTAAACTGCTTGTAACTTCTTCATGAATGTAATTGCGAGTTGTTAACATTGTTCCCAGATATTTTAACTTTGCCTTATTTTCAAAGGATTTATTTACTATACTTGTGTTACAGTTTTGTCCTGCATTCTGTTGACAATACATAGATGAACATATATATATATATATATATATATACTCCACTTCACAAAAAGCAACCCACAATCAACAGTTCAACTACAGAATCCCATTGCTGACACAAGTTGTCACGTGATAATGACTGTACACAGGGTTTGGATTGCTAATTGATTTTATTGGGCACTGAATCATTTGATTTACAAATAATTATACAATTCAGAGTGTTTACTGTCATTTCAAAATCTGGTATATCACTCTTGCTTGGTTACAGATACATTTCTAGGCTTGAGGGTCAGGTCTCTGTTAGCTTACATGCTTTCTGTATATCAGTTTGTTACAGACAAATGAGAAATACCAGCCCCAACACTTCCTCAACTGTTTTGCACATATGTGGCTGTGAGGCATTAATGCTTCATGCAATCTAGCAGCGGACTTCTGTACAACATTTCTGTGATTCAAGATTGTGACTTCATATCACACATGAATTGTTTTGACTTACACTGTATTTCCTGTTTCAATTATGTTCCATATTTGTATTGAAATTACCAACAAAACTGTGCCTGAGAATAAAATGCAGTCTGTTTTTCTAGAGCTACTTGGAAGAGAAAAAAATATGTGTCTTATTCAGGCAAGTACAGCATATTGTCACGTGTGGGATGGTATGCATAGCAAAATGATGGGTTCTGGCTCAGATGATTTGGATTTATTAGCATCTCAGTTACAACCTCTCTTAATTGCACTTAAATACAGCGCTATCACTGATTTACACAATCTACAGTTTGCCGTTACACTCACACTAGTCATCTCCTAGCAACATATCTCAACACAGATGCTGTCACTTCAAATAACTATGACGGCTTCTTGTCTTCAGTTACTCTGTACTCCTCTGTCCTTGTACTCACAACTGCTGGATGCTCCTGGGCTCTCCATTCGCTAGCTCCAATTTGCTCTTCCAGCTTACAGCTGACTGCAATTGACCTTTGTTGTTCCTTATAAACCTTCAGTGCAGACTTACAGAAAACAAGTCACGTGATTCCTAGCCAATGATTTCATTGGTGCACTGGCTGTTGCCTAGCAATGAGCAATAAACATTTGTTCACTGAGATGCAGTTTCTGTTGGTGCACATTTTAACATGTTTACTGAGTCATTACCTAGCAATGATCATGTATTGTTGTCAAATGCTTAAGCGAGAAGGTGTTTATCATGCTGTTGCCTAACTATACACATTACAATAATATCTTAATTAAGGTACAGTCAACTCTCGATTATCCGGGATAATGGCGGGCATGGAAATCACGATTATTCGAAAACCCGGTTAAGACAAATGTTATTAAAAGTAGTAGTGTAATACTGTACCTTCATAATACTGTAGGCCTACCTGTATTTAAATTTACTCAACCTCATTTTTATGTCATCTCATGGCCTATTTAATACTTTTTTTACATTATACTGAAGTGTGAATTAGTTATTTCAGTCACAGTGTTCAACAACATCCAACACTTTTTACGAATATTCACACCTAACACTTAAAAAAAATTAATATTGTTGTTTGCTTTTTCGCAGCATTTTCCTTTTTACGGATATCCGTACAAAACCTACGTAATATTAGCTTGTCACTTAATAAACTCTTCTCTTCACTCTCAAGATAGTCTAGTAAGAATTCCAAATGATTAAGAGCAGCACCATGTGATATTTTCTTACTAGCAGCACTGTCCACCTCTTCCTCATTCTCACTTTCTTTCCACTCTTCTGGCTGCACCCCCTCTGAACTTACGGTTTCGTCACTGCTTAACATTTCGAAGCCCGGCTCATATGAGTTTCCGTTGAATACTTAACACAACACGCTTCCTTTTACATCCTGACATTTTGCTAACGCACTTGAAGATCGATACAAAGAGACCAACTGGGGCGGTGTATCTGCCCTTGAAACTTTCCACAAATCCTTGCATTCTTTCACCCCTACCCTAGAACATTGTGTTAGCATAATGGGACCAAAGAATGCAGAGCTCATTTCACACTAGTGCAAAAAATAGTGTTACAACTCACCATGTGGAACAAAAGTGAATGAATATTAAACAACATATAAGCCTCAAAAAAGCCTCAGTAGCCCCGGTTAAGCCGCAAACTGGTTAATCCGCCCCCAGATAATTGAGAGTTGACTGTATATGCATTTGTAAATCAAGAGGAATAATAGTATTGAATGTTTCATATTGTAAGATGGTGGGAAACTCCAAGTGTGTTGTATTTCATTTTTTCTTTACAGGTGATGATGCATCTGGTGAACCATCTGGGCCACTTCCCTATGGGAATTGGAGCTGCTCGTTTGTCATCCATGGTTGTAGAACATGATGATGTGCCTGGCCTTGCAACAGATGAGCTCAGTGCTGAAGTTTTTTCTGCTCCAAATATACAGGTTAGAGCAAAGACAGTGAACAATTGGCATAGATGCCAAGTTTCTCACCAACTGAGATTTTGGTCGACACCAATCATTGCAGGTTTTGTATGCATTACCATCAGGACCACTTCATAATGCACAAGTTCACCAAGCCCATATTGTTTTATAAAATGCAATTTTGCTGTTACTCTCTATTTGTAAGATATACAGTTTATTGCTAAGACTTTACGCCACCTTGGAACTAGGGCCTGTATGCCAGCACAGTAAAACTCTGGACGAGCACATCTGAGCCACCATTTATTGGTCATAATGAGGGCAGCATCATCTTCAAATCTTGTTCCACGAAGGGATTCCTTCAGTGTATCCAGAGAGATGGTAATCAGAGGGTGCCACATCAGGGCTATAAGGAGGGTGTGGCAGTGTTGTTCATCTAAGTTTTGTGATCTCGTCCTTGGTTTTCTGACTGATGTGTGGTCAGGCATTGTTGTGCAACAGCAAAACATCCTCAATCTGCTGATGTGGTGAAGCACAATTCAGTCGAGCTTGAAGTTTCTTTAGGGTTGCCACATATGCGTCAGAATTAATGGCGTTTCCTTGTGGCGTGATGTCCACAAGTAAAAGCCCTTCTGAATCAAAAAAGACCATAATCATAACTTTTCCTGCTGAAAGCGCAGATTTGAATTTCTTTTTCTTGGGTAAGTTCACATGGTGCCATTGCATTGATTGCCGCTTTGTTTCTGGCTCAAAATAGTGCAACCATGTTTCATCTCCCATCACAATTCTCGCAACAAAGTTATCTCCACCATTCTCATACTATGCCAAGAGTTCACCGCACACAGTTTTTCGGGTTTCTTTGTAGGCATCTGTTAACATCCTCCTAACCCACCTTGCACAAACTTTTTTTCAACTCCAACTGTTTCAATATTTTGCACACACTTGCTTCCCCAATTCCTAGTTGGACTGTCATTTCTTTCAGTCACACATCTGTCCTCCAAAACCATATTGTTAACACGCTGCACATTGTCAGGTGTTTGTGAGGTGTGTAAGTCTGCCGGCGCGAGGAGATTCCTGTATATTGGGATGCCCACTTTCACCAGATAATCTGTGTGCCAACCGACTAACTGTACTGCAATCAACAGCATCATCTCCAGACACATTGTTCAATCTCTTGTTAATGTTTCCAACTGTCACATTCCCACACCACAAGAACTCTGTGACAGCATGTTGCTGTTGACAAACATCAAATGCAGCAGCCACTTCAAAGGAGTGCTATGACAGTGCTACATGTGGGAACGGGTTGAATTAAATTTGAATCCAAAGGGGAAGGATCCTTCTGTGCACCCTACAAATAGCAAAATTGTAGAAGAGAAACTGAATTAAAAAAAAATGCTGTGCCTAACTTTTGGAGTGACCTACATTGCAACAGTATTTAAATCACTCTGTAGCAAACACTTCTCACAGGATTCTTTCACTACTACATATTCCAGAAATTACTAAAATGAGTTTTATGAAATTTTCTGGAGGCTTTACAAGTGGTCTAAAATGTCATGCAACATGATTTTCTTTATAAGACCTTGCCTTATTTGCTGCTAGAAAGTGATGTGATAGATCTTAAAGCAGGCCTCCACACAAACCTACTCCACCGTCTCTACACAAAAATAACATTTATTTTCTTTTTATGCTTGCCCTGCAGCAAACTCCCATCTCTTCACTGGCTTGGCCTCCCTCTCAGACAAAGGTATCCTTTCTACAAAATGTCTTGCTGTCAGTCTGTCAAGTATTAGTGTCGTCTATGAACTTCCAGGGCAAGGAAGTTGTAAAACCTTTCTATATGCTTCAAGTAGTTCTTTTATTTCTTGTCTGAAATCCAAATGGTTTAGTTTCTTCATTTTTTCTCCATAATGCACAAAGGCAATATGTACCAAAGTAATTAGCAGCCTCTTTGAACAGTTTTGTGTACCACTTTGTGCTTCTCTTTCTCTCACTTTTATATGGTTGAAGTTTCTGATCCTTTACTCCTCCCATAAATGAATTATATTCCAAATTGCCGCCATTGTATCACTGTGAAATGTGTCCATCCAGTTCAGCATCATCATTCCTTGACTTTGCACAGCAATATGCTTGCTCTCTTTCAGTTTTGCTTCTTTTACAGCCAAAGGCACATTCTTCCTATTCAATCACAGTGTCCTGGGTACATTTATAGCACTTTTCTTTAGAAACCGGTAGAGATCTGGAGAATTCTAGAAATTGTTTGTTCAAAATGTGAATCCTCTCCTGGAAAGTGGTTCCACCAATTTTATAACTGTCTTGCTTGTATTTAGATGGCTAGCTGGGACAACACTGCTTGTGATATCTGTTGTGATTACACTGTATATTAAAAATTTCCACAGATATCTGGTAGATGAAGATGAATTATTTTATGTGAAACTTGGAAGCCTTCAAGTGAATGTTACTTGAATCCCAGTCTACACATCCACAAAGTTAAGGATTTATTGAGGGATATGTTTTCCTTAATCTATAGAGGTTACTAAATTTGCTGTTTTGGTGTTTCAGATTAGGATCAATTTTAAATAATGCTAATTACCTTACAAAGTTTCAATTTCATTATTATTCATGAAATATAATAATCCTTTTATATATGCATATAAAAAACTGGAACCTTCAAGAGAAAGTATAGGGAATCAGTAAAACATGAGGACGAGCTTCTAAACTAAACACACTCTTAGGACTTCACTCATGAAAACCAGGGTGAAAAGAGGCCCACAACAGATGGCACAGTGCATCTATAGCATTCCCTGTGAATGTGGCAGAAGCTGCATTGGCAAAACAGGCAGACCTCTGGCCGTGCGGCTCCATGAATGTTGGCACAGTGAAAGCAGGGTCTTCTAGAAAAATCAAAATTAGCCCAACATGCCTATGAAGAGGGTCATAGGGTAGGATGGGAAGATGCTAGAATTTTGAAAATTGAAAGTAACAGCAGGTACAGAAAATATAAGGCGTCAGCCCATATGGCATGCTAAACCAATCCCATCAGCCAACACAGTCTGGACATTTCTCCTATCTGGATCCCCCTCATCAACAATGAGGTTTCCAACTCACAGAGAAAATCTGTATGACATGACAGATTCTTCATGGGTTTCCATAATGTTTTAGTCTATAGTGTTCAAGTTTTACTCCACAGATGGCGATAGTGGTAGTCACTGCATGTCTTCACAATTCCCCCTCCCATTTTTTCTATATATTGGTGCTCATGCACTAGGTTTTGTTGGCTAGATTTGTAGCATACATTTCTGCCTCCTTTTCTATCCTAGTTCCATGCATGTGGATGCTTTATCACAATTTTTATTGCATATATTCATGTTATCTCTCGACAAATTAGCCTGGTCTTGGGTGATTAAATAGCTGTAGTGAATCTTGTGGTACTTGTCCAGTGATTGAGGTTAGCTCTTTTAAAGGTACCTAACAGGGTAAGTGTCTTCCCCCCTTCACCTGTCGATGGAAATGGATCCAGCTTCCAAAATGTTGTGTTCTCTAGTTTCTAGATTACTGGACAATGGAGGAAGTCCAAAACCCTGGTAATTCTGAGCATTATAGACCATTGTTAAAACCCTTTAGAATCAAAAGAAAGTGTCTGCTGAAATATGAGTTTCTTTTTACCATTCAGTGTATTCCCAAATAAGAATTTGTGTAAAAAAAGACATAAAGTTCATCACTGTCAATATCATACCAGTGAGAACACGTGATTGTGTTTTTAATCTATCCTTGTGTGTGTGTGTGTGTCTGAATTTTTAGTGGTATGTATCTGTAACTATAATGTCCATTGTGGAATTGTAAAAATGTAACTTCAAAGCCTCTGGTGCTATTATAACAGACTATATGGGGCCATTGTTTCAGAAAATGGAACTGTAATAGGACACTGTGATTCATTAACCTTTTCCCAATACCGTTCACCCTGAGCTTCCAATCTGGACCCCATTACTCTTGCATTGCTCACTGAATTTTCTTCAGATTCTTGATTTTCTGAGTTCATTGCATGAGTAACACTCTCCAGATTCAGAAGTATTTGTGTTACTTCCACTATCATAATGACACAGTTCTTCATCGCTTGGAAGTTCCAAAACTTAAAATATATCACTGATTTCCTGGCCACAGAATGTACTAGGCCACACCATTTTGAGACCACTGAGCAGCTGGTTCGAAGGTTACAAAACATTCCTTGTAGATTCTATGAAATCATTCAATTGGAGGAAACAACTAGTACAGTGAAGACTGCAGCCTTTAGAATAGTGCTTCAGTTATGAGTAATTTTATTCTCCACAAAGAGATGGCCAAGCAATACCAATTTTTATGTGAGCTTGCAGTCAGTAAAGACATACTTGGGCTGCCGCCAATAAAGGCTTGCGAGCACATACTTGGGACACTGGCTTGAGGTGTTAAAAGTACCATACAAAAGAAAAAAGAAGTTTTTGGAAATGTCTGGAGCATTGGAAGGATTGTGTTTTGTAAAATCTGCAACAGGTTTCAATAGGCCTGATGCTGGAAAGGACGATGGTGATGCTGGTGGTGGTGGTGATGGTGTTGATGATGGTGAGGACGACATCGACAACGATAATGATGTGATGGAGTAGAAGAACAAAAGGAATATTTCTCATTTTCTGTTCATGATACATATTTAGTTTAGTTTCAAATAATAATAAGAGGGCTATTTGTAAAGTAACCTCCATTTATTTTAGGCAACTAGTGTAGAAGCAAGGGAGAGCTCATATGTGAGATATTGTCACATGACTCATTACCTTGTATACCTTCACATCACTGGTCACCTAGTATTTGTTCTTGTCTCTGCAGAATGAGATATGATGCATCCTGTGATTGATAATTGAGCTGTTATCTGCTTCCTTCACACAAAAACACTGGTTTTGTGGAAATCCATTGTGAGTTGTTTGTGGTTTATGGCCAAAATATGATGAGTGCAAAAACAATAAGCCAGTGGTGTAGAATGTTCAAAGATGGGAGGGCGAACAAATGTTTATGATGAAGAGCAAAGTGGTCGGCCATCTATAGTGAGTGTTGACCAAAATATTTGTGAAAGACAGCACTTTAAAATTTCAGAACTTTCATGTGAATTTCCACAAATTTCGCACAATGATCTTTGTGAGATTATCACAGTTATTCTAGACTATGAGAAGTTTTGCACAAGATGGGTTTCAGAAGTGCTCATGGATGCACACAAAATGCAGATAATGGCTTCAACTTTTGTAGACTTTTTTATAGTGATACCACAAAGGTGGTGATGAATTTCTGAATCACATCGCATGATTAACAGGTGAAAAACCAGGGTTTCATTTGTGAATGTTGAAACCAAAGAACAGTCAAAGCAGTGGATGCACACACATTCACCAGACAAGCCATAAAAGTTTAAACAAACATTTTCTGCTAGAAAGCTGATGGCAGGTGTATTTTTTCTTTGAGACAGGACATGAGTGCTGGTGGTGGAATTCATGCAACAAGGGACCACAGTAATGTCAGAAGTGTACTGCAAAACATTAAAAAAAGAAACTGTGTAGGTCCATTCCGAAAGGTGTGGAATGCTGACATTACAGTATGTGTCTGCAGAGAGCTGCTTGCATTTGAGCACTGCTGGAGCATTTCAACTGGGAGTTGTTTGACCCCCCTTCTTGCAGCCCCTCTCTTGCTCAGAGCAACTGCCACCTGTTTATCTACTTGATGAACTGGTTGGGATTACAGCACTTCAGCAATAATGAGGAGTTGATGGAAGGTGTCAAAACATGGCTGAGCTTACAGGTAGCAAACTTCCTTGACACAGACATAGCAAAGCTTATTGCCTCTTGTGACAAGTGCCTCGATTCTGGCAGTGACTATGATGAGAAATGGCTTAAGTATGTATGTATTTTTTGTACGTAATATATTTTTTTCTGGTTGCTTCTTTTGTTAATAGCTCACCGGAGTTTACTATCCCAATAACCGTTGTAATTGTGTAGTTATGATTAAATGTGTTTGCTAGCATCAGTATGATCAGTGACAAATTACAAACCTGTGTATCTCTTTTGTTTTGTTTTTTTTTTTCTCCTGAGCAGCTTTTTGTGCTCAGCAACAGTCTTATGGTGTCATTAGTTGAGTTGCCAGCTCTGGAAGTACCAGGCGGTGGCATAACAGCTGGACTGAGAACTGCCCCCTCACAAGTGAGAATCATTTTAAGGGACTTGAGTGGAAAGGCATCATGGGATGCTTCCATCCTTTACTGCAGTCCCGAGGACTCCATTTGCTCACATCGACTTACCAAAGAAGAAGAAACAGGTGTGTTTACGATTTTGAATTGCCTGCAATATTATATCCACATTGTGGTCTCTGATTTAAATTTTATTTACTGTATTTTCTGAAATGCACCACATATTTTTTCCCAGAAAAATTTGTGTCAGAAAGTATAATGTATAGCCTAGTTGCATCAAAGTTAACAGCACTACCCATTTGTCATATTTAGCTCTCCAGTGCATCCCAAAAGGTGGTAGCTGACTCGTGTATTAGCTTTTATACTTGCATGCTCACACTCTACTAGCAAGGTTGTAGTTCATCTCAATTTTTTCACAAATGAAAGTCAGTTTTACACTGTGATTTTTAATGAGAAAAAATGAGTGCAAAGGGTATGCGATTATGGTCCTTCACAGTGAGTGACAAATTAAAGATAATCTTCATGTACTTAATGCTGTTATAAGGTATTGTAATAGTGGTTTCCTAAATGTTGATTGCGTCCTTCTGAAGATGGTCAATCTGACCGGAATGTGCTAAGGAAATTTAAACATTGAAATACAAATTTATTGATCAATCACACTGGACGGTGTTGCGAGTCATTTTATGCTGTTGCCAGTGTGACAGATTAGGATGAGCCAAGTCAAGTCATATGAATTTTCAGTGAAACATGTTGGAGGTTATATATTCCTCCAAAACAATGGTTGAGTTTCATCAGCCTACATGGCATTATATCCCAGAAGATAGAACTTGTTCATAACCACTGCTGTGAGAACCTCAAGTCCTGCGGTAGCTTAGTTGCTCAGGAAGTCACAAGCTTCTGTAAAACCTTTGTCCATGTATCCATATCCTGATGGTTGCTTGGAAAGGGGCTGTCGCGTTTTTAGTTCTCTCATCTTACCTTCAACCATTTTTATGTCATCTATACCATTTGTGGAATTGTGGCTTTTAGCATACATTGCAATTGTCATCTTCAGGGTGAGTCAGGAGGAAGGATATTGTCTAGTGTATAGGTCCCACAGTGGAGGTAAGGATGAGGTGTTTAGTATGGTGCTGTCAAATTCTTCCCATACAGTGCACACGAAGGTGATAATTATTGCAGAATTTGAAGTGGATAGCATAAGGGAAAGAAGCTGTTTGGGAGACTTCTGATGAAGACGGGCAGACAATATGAAAACATATTTTACTGAAGTGGGTTGTCAAAGTTGGTTAATTAATTCTGCCAAAAACTTTGTTTTATGGCTTATGGTATCATTGCATATGTGAGTTCCTGTATCCTGATTACTTCGGACCCAGTTGATCGATTTACTGAGACTTGGTATGAACATTACACCATTAGAAACTACCATATCTGTGCATATTTTGATTCTTCAGTACCATGAAAATGCAAAGAGGGTGCAGTACCAGCACCACTGAATGAAAATGCTTGACGATTTTCATGGCATCAGATCTTTGACGGAGCTCATGTTTCTTTAGAATATAAAACTAACTGGGAGCCATATGGAATCTGTACATAGTTTTTGGACTGATAACACAAACTAATGTGCCATTGGAGCTCAATGTGTGACATTTGGAATGGAGATTTTTCAGGAAATCTGAATTTATATGAGTACAGATTATGAATAAACTATATCACCAAGTTGTAATAAAAGGACATAGTAAGGAAGAAAAAAACATCCTTACTCTGTAACCAGCCAAGGGCATAGTCAGAGATGGAGGCCGAAATTTTCAGCTTAAGGGTGTGATAATGTGATACCTGCTCAGGGATGTTGCACACCCCAGGCCAATGATAAATGAGTATGGAGCAGTGGTGGAATAATGATAGGAGACAGGAAGGGGCCAACTAAACAATCTCAGAGAAAACCTGCTCCAGTGCCAGTTCATGCACCAGAATCTTTCATGAAGTAACTTGGAATGATTCCCACCATTCCTGCTGGAAGAAAGTACCTAATAACTTGAGATGTGCCTGCTGTACCATTTTATTACTAATTAAATTTTGCCTCTAAAGACAGAATAATTTGCATGAAAAATGTCTTAAGATCTGTCCAAAGTATCTTGATAAATTTTGGAAGCATCAGAACTTGAATGTCCTGTTTACAAAGAAACACAAATTATGATTGACATTCATTTTACTTCCAGAAGATGGAGTTGGGATTTGTGGTTCATCGAAACCCATATCAGTCTCATCTAGATTGGAAGAGGCCATGTTGACATCTAGCTTTGTAGGTGGTGAACTGCATAGTTGTCCTCCTCAGCATACGTTGCGTCATCGCCCGCCTCATATGCTCCCAACCTGTGATAATGGAGCTGAAGATATGGACAACTTGGACGATGTATGTATATTGCATGAAATGAAGAACTGAAAGTACATGTGTATGTTTGTAACTTCATGAAACAGGCTTCTCCTTGCAGCTTCAGAAGTCTGCAAAATGTAACAGTTATATGTAAAGGAGACCATGCAGTGGAGTTATAAAATCATGTAGCACTATTTGTACACCCATTCATGGTGCATATGTTTGATTCATTTATGTTATTGATATGTAATATCACATTATGAAAGTGATTTGAAATTTTTGGCTGACTGCCTTGTCTGTTATGTTTAATAATTGAATTCCTATACACATATTACAGTTTGTGTCTGCATTCTTCATGTGAGTTTGAATTTCATGTTTTAGCATTCATATTTGTATTATTGTATTGAGGAATAAATGACTGAAAAAGGGGTTACCAACCTAGAAGTAACTTAGTGAAGGACAAGAATGGTGATCTTCTTGCAGACTCCCACAACATTTTGAATAGGTGGAAGAACTACTTCTCTCACTTATTGAATGTACATAGGGTCAGTGATGTTAGGGAGATAGAAATACATGCAGTTGAGTCATTAGTACCTGATCCTAGCCCATTTGAGGTTATTGCTATCGCAAAGTTGGAAAATACAAATCACCAGGTAGTGATCAAAATCTGGCAGAGCTGATTCCAGCAGGAGGTGAAATATTACGTTCTAAGATCCATCAGCTAATTAATTCTATTTATAATAAGGAAAAATTTCCAGATCAGTGAAAGGAGTCTATTGTTGTACCAGTTCACTAGAAGAGTCATAAAACTGACTGCAGTAATTATCGAAGGATATCACTGCTATCAACTTTGGATAAAATTTTATCCAATGTTCTTCTCTCAAGGTTAAGTCCATACACAGATGAAGTTATTGTGGATCATCATTGTGGGTTTTGACATAACAGGTATACTGTTGATCAGATCTTTTGCATTCATCAGGTACTGGAGAAAAAATGTGAGTACAATGAGAGAGTACATCAGCTATTTGCAGACTTCAGGGAAGTGTATAATTCAGTTAGGGGGGAAGTAAGTAAAAAGTAAAAGTAAAGGTATCCCTGTAACAGGCCATGGAAGCCCATATGGTTGTGAGATGTTGAGGCTCCCACATTTTAAGACAATCAACTCATAGATGGCAGTATGGTTGTCAGCCTTACACACCAGCCGCCCTTTACCCCCAAGAGAATTCCAAGAATATTCCTGGTACTCATTTCTGTTAGAGGCTGAGTCGACCCCAGGGCCATAGTGCGGCTGGAAGGATTAGGTTAAATTGAAAAAATCCAATGACTTCATTGGGATTCTATTCCATGACCTTTCGGCTTGTGCCTCAACCAACTATGCTACTGCGTGGGGGTTAGAAGGGAAGTATTATACAATATTCTCACAGAGTTTGAAGTACCCATGGAACTAGTTAAGCTGATTAAAATGTGTTTAAACAAAATGTGTAATAATGTCCATATAGGTAAAAATTTGTCTGATAATTTCACTATTCAGAATGGTCTGAAACAAGTGGCTACTTTATCACCAGTGCTTTTCAACTCTTCTTTCAAATATGCCTTTAGGAATGTCCAGGAAACCAGGTCGGACTGAAATTAAATGGGACACATCAGGTGTTGGTCTCTGCTGATGATGTGAATCTACTGGGTAATGTTGTAGATACCATAAAGAAAAACACACAAATTTCAATCTACACTGATAAGGAGGTTGGTGTAGAAGTAAACACAGAGACGACTAGGTATATGTTTCTGTTTTGTCACTGAAATGCAGGGCAAAATCATGACAAAGATAGCTAACAGATGTTTTGAAAATGTGGCATAGTTCAGGTATTTGGGAACAACTATAACAAATCAAAACCTGATTTATGAGGAAATTAAGAGGCGATTGAATTCAGGTAATGCTTGCTACCAATCAGTGCAGAACCTTTTGTCTTCTCATCTGCTGTCTGAAAACATAAAAATTAGAATATACAAAACTGTAATTTTGCTTATGGTTCTCTATGGGTGTGAATCTTGGTCTCTGACATTAAGGGAAGAACATAGACTGAGGGTGTTTGAGAACAGGGTGCTGAGGAGAATATTTGGATCGAAGAGAGAGAAAGTGACAGGAGGTTGGAGTAAACTACATAAGGAGCTTCATAACTTGTACTCTTTGCCAAGCATAATTAGAGTGATCAAGTCAAGGAAGATGATGTGGGCAGGGCATCTACCAAGAATGAGGGAGAAGTGGAATGCATATAGGATATTGGTGGGAAGCCAGAAGGAAAGAGACCACTGGGAAGACCAAGGCATAGGTGGGTGGACAATATTAAATGGATCTCAGAAAGATAGAATGGGATGGTATGTAGTGGATTGATCTGGTTAAGGATAGGGACCAGTGGAGGGCTCTTGTGAACACAGTAATGAACCTTTGAGTTCCATAAAATGCTGGGAAATTCTTGACCAGCTGCAGAATTGGCATCTCCTCAAGAAGGGCTCAGCACCATGATTAAGTAAGTAAGTAAGGGAAGATGTGAACTACTAGGTATCATACTGTCAGTTTCTGTGGGTTTTCTATATACTGATAGTTGTAATCTGTTGTCTTTATGTTGTATTGTAAGATCTAGGAAATTGATGGATTTGTGTAATTCCTTTTCTATAATGAATTTTATAGATGGTTTTAATTTATTGAATTATTAAGTGTGTGTTCTGTTTGTTTCATTTTGGTTATGTATTATATGTAAATCATCAACATATCTGAAATAAGCAGTTATTTGTTGTTCAGTTAGGATTGGATATATTTGTTTGTGTTCCATGTCTTATGTGTATGTTTTGGCTGTTATTGATGATAATGGTGCACCCATGGCTAACCCATCAGTTTGTTTATAATACTGCTGGTTAAATTCAAAATTATTCTGCTCCATCACTGTAGTAAGTATAATATTTTTTGGGGGGTACATCTGTTTTGTTTCTTGGTTATCTTATAGTATGTTGTTAATTATTATATTTATGGCATCAGTGCACATGTTCTCTATGTCAAAGGAACAGATTATGTATCTTTGTTAAGCTTGATGATTTGTGAGTCTGTCATCAGGTGGAAGGAGTTTCAAGTATTGTACATATATTGTATGTAAGAATAGCCTTCTACACACAGTACAGTAAAGAATGTACTAAAGCCCCATATACAAACAGATAAGTGCAACAGAAGTGGCATTTACCAAATGAAATGCCTGGATTATCCACTAAAATGCATAAGACAAATAGGAATGACAGTATCAGATGTAAACAACACATTCAAGCAATGAGAATAATAATAATTTGGGGTAATCAAACCACATATTAAACTCAGGACATACATGGAACTATAATGTACACCATGGTTATTATAAAAACAGGATGAAAAGGAAAGCATTTAAACATTTTAGAAAAATATTACATTTACAGAATCAGTAAAGGTAACCTACTATGAATGAAACACATATTGACACATACAACCCCATGTTTGAGACATTACATGAACTTTACACCAGATGGCATCCCACCCGTTTCACTATGAAATCAGGATAAAAACACGCTAAATACACATACTGGCTGCACGCATGCGACAGATATGGGATAAATTATACAAAGGATATAACAGTGTTTTTACATGTTGCAGATAAAAGAAATCAACATACATACCAACATTAACAAACTACATGAACCACACCTACACCACTGAAAATTATGCTAATAGATCCCACAAGGAGATTGAAGTCATTTTTACTAAATTTAATAGGGCAACCTATTTTAATTTGAATTTTAATTGCAAGTTTAATTATAATTGTAAAATTGAAACAAGCATTGCAGTGAAAAGTTAGCATAATAAGGACACATGATGACCATATATGGCTGAAACCTGTCGTAAATAAACGTTAAAGTGACCATAACAGTCTTGTGATGGAAATATATATCGCTGAAATAATTCGTAGCTGAAGATGGTATCTGTCTTTCTTGCCAGCACTGTTCATGTTTCTGTTTGGCACAGCTTCTCCAGTACCTGGGTTACACAAGTCCAGAATGTTTGGAGAGTCTGGACACCCCTCGTAACATTCCTGCAACTCCTCCTCCGCCACTGACAAGGGAAGCAGAGGAAGACACCATCACCATGGTACTGAACCAACGAAATGCAGAGCAAGAGTACTTACAGCGCCGTTCAGCAGATATCACGTAAGTATGCTACTTACATTTTGGGATTTTCATATTGTATTGCTACATAGTTGTATTATTTCTAAGTAAGAAATTTTCATGGCTTATTTTTGCATTGCTACCATTTTGTTACTACAATTGAATTTTGCAGTGTTTGCATGGATTAATTCTCATTCTGGTAATTAATTAGTAGTTTTCACAGTAGCATAGCTGGTTGAGGCACTATGCTATGAAGTCGAAGGTCATGGGTTTGATTCCTGATGAGGTCAATGGATTTTTCAATTGACCTAATCCTTCCATCTGCACTATGGCCCTGGTTGAGGCCATGCAATAGCTCAAGCAGTTAGTCGCTACCTTCCCACCACGATATCCCGGGTCTGGGCAAGTGGGATTTGTGGTAGACAAAGTGGCGCTGGGACGGGTCTTCTCTGAGTACTTGGGTTTCCCCTGCCAAACTTCATTCCACCAAATTCTCCTTCATCATCATCACCCGGGGCAGGTACAATAGATCAATCAGTGGCCGCCATGCTGAGTGGACCCAGCTGGACTCCACCCCCCCACTAAGCGAATTTAATTTTAAATGGTTCTGGGTGACTCAACTTCTAACAGAAATGAGTACCAGGAATCTTCCTGGGGGTATGATGTGGCCAGCACATAAGGCTGACAACCTCATTGGTATTTGTAAACTGATTTTCTAGAAAATGTAGGAACCCCTAGGTCTCACAACCCTCTGGGCCTCCACGGCCTGTTGCAGGGACAGCTTTACCTTACCTTCTTAGAAATATCATGCTTTTCCACCATTTGCTTTTATTATACATAGGTCGGATAAAAAGTAGTGGCAAGACCTCTACAGTTCTGAAATGCCTTTATTACCTGAGGTAAACACACGTACATTCCTTCAATATAATCGCCCCCCCATGTACCACCTTCTGCCAAATTTGTGGAAGGCATCGTACACCATCAGTGCGTCCCCTTCTGTTGATGTCCAGCAGTGACCGTCCTACAGCATGAATAATCTCCTCTCGTGTGTTGTAACGTGTCCCTCGCAGAGGTTCTTTCATTTTGGCAAAGAGATCATAATCACATGGACTCGTATCGGGCGAGTATAGTGGATGTTGCAGTATCTTCCATCACCAGCAGCGAAGGAGATCCTTGACAGTGTCATGAAGGATGGTGTTGTTCGTTGCCAACAAGTGATGTAGCATTCTCCTGAGTGCTGGACGAAGATCCTTGTGCAAGAAATTGCAGTAGTAGGCAGCGTTTACTGTCTGTCCTTGAGGTACAGTGTGGTGCACTATCACTCCATCAGTGTCATACGCCACAATGACTTGCCTGCTTTCTGTAACGACACTTGAATGCATGGATGATTCCCAGACCTTAAATCCATAACAGGCTGCTACAGTTAGCTGTGAGAAATACAACTTTGATGTTGCTGAGACATGTATTGTTCTTCGGATGGATAGCACACTGATCAGTGAAAAGCAAGATTTTCCAATTTTTATCTTGCAGTTTTCTGTCTAATTGTGTGGGGTAGGCCTCAGATATTTTGGAGGTCATCCAAGAATTTATATTGTCTTCATGTTTTATAGGTAGTCTCTTGACATCCTTGAAGTAATGAGAATTTGACTTGGTTCATCCTGGTCCGTCACACTAGCAGTAGTATAAGAGATTATTTTAAACTCTCGTTCTTTACAAACATTGCGATAGGAGGAGGAGGATCATGATGATGAAAATTGTCTTGGTGGTGGTGATAAGGATAACGTCAATGATGACGATGACGACGACAACAACAATGACAATGACCTGGAAGCATGTTTTTGACATAGGTTGACAATGATATTGTCCTGCCATTTGTTGTTGGTCTCATCTTGCTCTGCCATATGTGTTGCATTTGGTTTCCATAATAAGTTGTCATACATTGCAACAGACAAACTATGCATAGATATTGTTTTGGGGAAGTTGGAGGAACTGTATGATAATCACTGAATAAAGAACAGCATCCCAAATATGGGGCATAATGTTGCATATTTTGGAATTGTGTTCTGTTACTTTATTCTAGAATGCTAGCAGGATGCATGGCAACATTTCCTCACAAGCCATCTCAATCACCATTTCAACACTGCCGGCTACTTTTCTCACAGTTGGGCCTTGCTGGTTGGGAACGTCGTTCTCAGCTTCACTTGCTGTCTAAAAATGAAAAACTGCTGCGAGAACTACGCAATCTTGACACACAGGTAATGTCATGTTTTTTCATTTCATTCTGTATGTATTAAAATCTTCTTATAGCAGTGAGACAGAAGCTCTGAAGCTATGCGATTTTTGATTACCATAGCAAGAAATGTTAAACATTGACATATTGCATGAATATGAGTCATATAAATATGTATAATAGGTCAGTCTTGATCAGTCTTCTGTTCCATTGTATCATTGCAGTCTCTAAATATTGATGATTTTTTGATATGGATATGTGTAATTGCAAAGATAATAGCAAAGATACTTAAAAGGAGAATTGAAAGGAAAATAGAGGATATACTTGGAGAAGAACAGTTTGGATTTAAAGGAACCAGGGATGCAATTGGGATGATGAGAATTATAGCAGAACGAACTTTGGAGATAGATGAAGAACTGTGAGTTTGCTTCATAGACTGGCAGAAGGCATTTGACCATGTAAACTGGACCAAATTAATGCAGATCCTAAAGGAAACAGGTATCGATTGGCGTGAAAGAAGATTGATTAGCAAATTGTACATGGATCAGAAAGTTAGAGTATGACTGGACAGAGGGGAGACAAGAATTGTGCAGATTGGAAGAGGAGTTCGACAAGGATGCTGTTTATCACCAATTCTGTTCAACTTGTACAGCGAATGCCTTACCAAGGAAGCTCTGGATGGGCTCGGTGACTTCAAATTAGGAGGGCAAATTATTCAAACTGTGAAATATGCAGATGACCTTGTGTTAATGGCTAAGGAAGAAACTGTGCTACAGGGCATGATTGATAGACTAATTGAAATTGGAAGGTGCTATGGCATGGAAATGAATGTGGAGAAAACAAAAGTAATGAAAATTTCGAGACAACCAACCCCAGTCACAATAAAGATAGACCAAAAACAACTGGAGAATGTGAAATGTTTTAAATATTTGGGTAGCTTGTTAACAGATGATGGAAGGTGTACTTGTGAAATTAAATCCAGGATTGCCATGGCAAAAGCTGCATTTAGCAAGAAGAAGAATCTTTTTACCAGCAAATTGGACTTAAATTTGAGGAAGAAACTAGTGAAATGCTACATTTGGAGCATAGCTCTGTATGGGGCTGAAACATGGACACTTAGGGCAGTAGATCAGAAACGTCTGGAAAGTTTCGAAATGTGGTGTTGGAGAAGGATGGAGAAGATCAGTTGGACCGATTATGTGAGAAATGAAGAAGTGTTAATTAGAGTCAGTGAGCAGAGGAATATCCTACATGAAATAAGAAAATGGAAGGCTAATTGGATTGGTCATGTTTTACGCAGAAACTGCCTTCTAAAAGAAGTTATTGAAGGAAAGATAGAGGGGCGGATAGAAGTGACAAGAAGACGAGGAAGAAGACGTAAGAAGATGCTGGATGACCTTGGGGACAGAAGAGGATATTTTCATTTGAAGGAGAAAGCTCTAGATTGCATTAAGTGGAGGAATTGTTTTGGAAGAGACTGTGGACCTGTCGTCTTGACAGATTACTGATGATGATGATCAGTTCTGATGGGTGTTTGTGGAAGGGATAATTAAGTGGGCCTATTTTTAAGTGAATTTGACATTAAAAGTTTATTGAATTTTTCATGGGCTTGTGCTTCTCATATCTCACCACTTTGGGAGCAATTGATCTAACCATTTGTATCCAACTAATAATTTTAAAAATTCTAATTTTGTCACTACTGTTTTTCTTTCATTTCACATGTTCTGTTTTACTGCTGTTATCTTATATTTTACATAATTTAAAATATGTGCTAATGAACATTACTTTAACAAAGTGTCTAAATTGTTATATGTATGTATGAAGTCAGCATGGGTTCTGATTTATGATAAACATGTTGATATTTTCAGAGATGTCGGGAAACGCACAAAATTGCTGTTGTATATGTAGCTGAAGGTCAGGAAGACAAGAGTTCTATTCTGTCAAATACATGTGGAAGTCAGGCTTATGAGGAATTCATAGCAGGATTAGCATGGGAGGTAAGTTATAGTCAGAATGTAACAAATTATGACAATTGAGGTTCCCAATGAATATTGCTGTTGCTTGAGATGTGATTGACTTTTAGTCTGGTAGATACTTACTGGTGTATCAAAGGAACGTGCTGCCTTCATATGCAGGGCAGAAGAGTAAAATGAACGTGAAAAGTGTGGATCACTCAGGGTCCGGGTTCCAGTCCTGTTTTTCCAAATTTTCCGTGCTTGGCTTACCCTTCTGTCCTGAACATGGAGGTTGCAGATTTCACTAAAACAGTAAAATCTATCACACTATGTGACATGACATCCAAGAAGATAGTAATCTTTAGTATTGAAGTGTTTACAGTGAAAGTGTTTAATGGAATGAAACATTGCTTCAGGAATGTTTACAATAGTCCCAGTTCCAAGTGTCTTGAATGTAAATTACAACAATCTTCTTCTTCTGATAATGTTGGTAAAATGAAACTTAATGGAAACTTGCCTTTGTAAGAAGGTGTTTCTGGTCTTGATAATAGAATGAAAACTGGTGGTAATTTATCACCAATAAATGGAAACTGTGTGGTGTAAATGGAAGTGTAAAATGTAACATTGTCTACATGGAAAAAATTTGCATAAAACAAGTGCTTGATTATGACACCTTTGTAATGAGCAGTTCTTAATGAGACACAATTTTTTCATTATTTTTTGCACTGTCTGTACTTGGAGTTTCAGCTATGAAGCTTTTTGTACCTGATTTTCCATAAAGGTACTGTTAAAATTTTACTGGACTTTTTGTGATTAGCTGATTGTCCAGTCCAGATGGCCAAGCTTTACTTATTATCAGTACTAATACATTTACTGCTGAGTTAAAATTTTGTCACCAGTATGGTACCATTGGGAGATTTAAAATCACCCAAATTTCTGATGATGATCTCTTATCCCCAAATTAAAGTATGTTTGCTGTCCCTATAGTGGGGGTCACGTGGTAGTGTAGTTGGTTGAGGGGCTATGCTACAAGCTGGAAGGTTGCGGGTTCAAGTCCCAATGCGGTCATTTGATTTTTTTCAGTTGACCTAATCCTTGCAGCCACACTGTGGCCCTGGGGTAGACTCAGCCTCTAACATAAATGAGTACCAGGAGTTAATTAAACAATTTTCCTGGCGAGTAAAGCGCAGCTGGCGTGTAAGGCTGACAAGCTTACGCCATCTCTGAGCCGATTGTCTAGATAATGTGGGGCCCTCGACATCTCACAACTGAGCTGTGTCCCTTGACCCTGTGGGTCAAGAACCCAGTTCTCCTACCCACTTAGACCCGTGAACTCCTGTTCAATATGGGTAAGGGACAGGCTCATAAGAACGACTTGCTTGTACATGATGTACTATGCCTCCCCAAGGTCGAGTGGGGGATCTCGGGAGAGGAAACCCGCTGTCGGCACTATGGGCCAAGCTGGACGGATGTGCTAGTCCGAACTGGTAGGGAATACCCAACCCAAGTATACACAAATACCACTGGCGTTTCCAAACATATAAATAAATGTATATATTGATAACATAAGTATACAGGTGTACTCTGCCTGATGGGCAGGGACTGGTCAAAACATAATCGACAGTTGATGCAGAACCACACTGTGCCTAGCCGCACAGACTCAAGTATGGGCACGCCTCATGGCATCTTTCAACTTCTCTAGGAAAAAACTGTACTCCGGCAAGCCTTAAGGGCACACAAGCCAGTACCTTGGCGAGCCTTAAGGGCACAAGGAAATATACACAGGTTACTTTGCACGCCTGAGGGGCGATCAGCTGTTTAAGCCAACTCAACTCCAAGCAAATTAATTAACTTACGCCACATGGCGTCGTGATGAAAAGGAAACCATCTACAACAGTAAGTCACTTACTGGCGTTTCCAAAATTACAAACACAAGATTAACCTCACGACTTGATGCAACCTTGATCACGTCGTGAGGGCACTCTTCCCCCTTCAGACACTGCACAGGCCGAAGCAGAATTTCACAAGATCAATTCAACATAAACGAAACTAATTTTGGAAGCAGCGATGTTACCTTGCTGAAGCTAACGGTGAGAGAGAACGATGCATTCGTTCTGAGTAAGCAGGAAACCTCACATTGCGTCCAGGAGGGGGGGGACAAGGTCAGCTGACCTGACGTCAGCTAAGACTTTAAGTGGAAAGGAGGAGGAACGGCTCGCATCCTGGTGTTTTGGGGTAGCTTTACTTTACCTCTTCTTGTTCTTCTTCTTCTTCTTCTTGTTCTTCTTCTTCTTCCTCCTCTTCCTCTTCTCTCTCTCTCTCTC